AAATCCAGTCAGCCTGTTTTTTTCACCTAGGGACTGCTCATACAGTCCTTGTGGGGCATCGGCCTCTGGAGGTCGGGTAGTGGGAGATGGTGTTTGGGAGTTCTGAGCTTCATGAGAGCAGTATAAGAATGGTTTTCAGGGTTGTTCCCAATGCTGAAGTGTCTGAAGTGGCTAATCTAAGGATTTGCCTTGGAGCCTGGCCTGTCTAGACTGAGCAAGAGGCACAGAATTGAAAAGACCTTGCATTCTAGTTTAGGATGTGCTTCTTTTGATATACTTCCTTTCTTCTTACTGCACAGCCTTAGAGCCAAGGCCAAGTCAGTGCCATCCCTCATCCCCCTAAACTCTGAGAACCCAGAACTGAGATCCAGGTTTAAGCTGCCTGCTTGCCTGGTGCATTTTCCTGCAGGGTAATTATGATCAGTATGTGAAGACACGACTGGAGCTGGAGGAGAACCAGATGAAGAGGTTTCACTGGGAGCAAGATCAGATTGCACACATGAAGGTAGGGAGATTGTAGAGGCAAGTGCACATTTTCCCATCTGAATCAAATCAGACAATTGGAGGAGGTATCTGGGGAGGCTGGGTGCTGAAGGAAGTCAGGAGGAAGTTTTTTTTTTTTTGGTACTGGGAATTGAAGCCAGAACACTTTGCCACTGAGCTACATTCCCATCCTTTTTGAGACAGGGTCTCAATAAGTTTCTTAGGGCCTTGCTAAACTGCTGAGGTTGGCCTCAAACTTGCAATCCTCCTGTCTCAGCCTCTCAAGTCAATTACAGGCATGTGCCACTGTGTCTGGCTATGATCATCAGGAGTTGTTTGGTGCCTGCATATACTTCAAACCCACTTTTTTGGTCTCTTTCAGAACTACATTGCTAGATTTGGTCATGGCAGTGCCAAGCTGGCCCGGCAGGCCCAGAGCAAGGAAAAGACACTACAGAAAATGATGGCATCAGGACTGACGGAAAGGGTCGTGAGTGACAAGGTGGGGTCAGGTGGGGTTAGGTGGCCAGAGGTTTGGGGTTTGAGAATTTACCAGCCTGATAAGTGTCTTTTTCTTTTCCTAGACACTGTCATTTTATTTCCCACCGTGTGGCAAGATCCCTCCACCTGTCATTATGGTGCAGAACGTGAGCTTCAAGTATACAAAAGATGGGGTAAGTTCAAGCCCAGGTGTGGGCGGCTTGGGGCTGGTGTGCATCTTCCAGGGCCTGTGGTAGCCAGCAGGAGCCTCTTCCTATCATGCTGACCTGTGTTGGGGTGGGCTTGGCAGCTGCCTACCTCATCCAAGGACTTAAGCTGGCCCTTCAGATACCTGAAGGAGAGCTGCCCAGCTGGTTGGCAGGTGGAGGTGGTGGTTGGGCTCAGCACTCCATTCTCTCCATTGTTCCATTGGTGACTGGGACTCCACAGGCAGAGTAGATCAGTACTCCAGCCTGTGTCCATGTCTCTCTTATACCCACCTCAGCCTTGCATCTACAATAATCTAGAATTTGGTATTGACCTCGACACACGAGTGGCTCTGGTAGGGCCCAACGGAGCTGGGAAGTCAACACTTTTGAAGCTGCTAACTGGAGAGGTATGGTGTCAGGTAGAACTTGGCTGCTTCTAAGAGTAGGGGCCTCTACTCTTACAGAGTCTGGGTACCCTGTTGGTGAGTGAACCACCCAGAGTGGTTAGGGCACAGCGGGAGAGGGGGATTCTCCTTGCGGGTCAGGGCTAAGGCTGGAGCACATGTCCCTTGTGATTTTTGTGTTTTTAGTTAGCATTTTGGATATAGGAATATCTGCATTTGGAGATAATGTTTTTCTTTAGAAAATGTATGTTGTTGTGCCCATATCCAAGTTCATTGCTAATGCATTCCTTTGGTGCATTCTATAGTGGACAGTTCATAACTACTTAATAAATTCATTCTCTACCCTTGAAAATGAATGCCTGTTTCAATAGGTCATCCTGAATATTTTTAGAGCTGCCAGACTGAGAGTCTGCCTTGGTGAAGGGATCTCTGTCTCAGAAGTTGTAGAGCCCGGTTCACTGTGCCCGGGTATTTGCTCCCTCTCTGCCTGTGTGTGCTTCTATTCAGATTTTCTTTTATGTGCTTATATATCTATTTAATCCTTTTTTCCTCCTAGCTACTACCCACAGATGGGATGATCCGGAAGCATTCTCACGTCAAGATAGGGCGTTACCATCAGGTACAGGTTGGGGTCAGGGCCCAGGAAGTTGCCCAGGGTATAGGGAGGAGCTGCATCTGGCCCCAACCCCTCCCCCCAGGAATTCAAACCTAGTTAGCTCTTACCTGCTTCTCCTTGAATCCTGAACAAGTGCTTAGGGTTGAGATAGAAAATTACCCAAGCAGGTAACCCAGATGGCTCCTTTTAAAGCCGGCTACCAGTCACACCTGGGTGGGTCCCAATTTTTCCTGCAGCATTTACAGGAGCAGCTGGATTTAGATCTCTCCCCTTTGGAGTACATGATGAAGTGCTACCCAGAGATCAAAGAGAAGGAGGAAATGAGGAAGATCATTGGGCGATATGGCCTCACTGGAAAACAGCAGGTTAGTGGAGGAGGGGTGTGGGAGGAAGTCCAGGTAGTGGGAGACCACCACTGGATAGTCAGGAACAGTGTCCTGGAAGCACAGGTTTGGAAGCTGTCCCTCCCAGAGTCTCCTCTCCTGCCTCCAGCCTGCTGCCTCTTCTCTAGCTGGTCATGTCATAGTGTTTGAGTGTCACTGTGGAGTTGGTGGACAAGGATAGTGAGCTGGTCTCTGTCATGCCCTTGTGCCGGCATGTTTGAAGACAAAGGAATAGACCACCTAGAAAACAGTTCTAGGTCTAGACCTGGAATTGAGGAGCCACTGGATTGCTCCAGTTCGTTAGGACTTAAAGGCCAAGAGTAAGGGGTGTTGATGCGGTAGTGGCGAGGTGGTTGGATTCCCAGATGTGTCCCTAACAGGCCTAAAAGGACCAGTGGCCAGGGTATTCTCTTGCCATGTTGTCTTTTGGGGCGGGGGGGCACCATGGGATGCTTTACCACTGAGCCACATCTCCACCCTTTTCCTTTTTCTTTTCCTCTTTTTTTTTTTTTTTTATGAGAGAGTCTTGCTAAATTGTTTAGGGCCTTGCTAAGTTGCTGAGATTGGCCTTGAACTTGCAGTCCTCCTACCTCAGCCTCCCAAGTTGCTAGGAATATAGGCATCTCTCACCACACCCAGTGTAATCTTGTCTGAGCCTTACATTTTGCAAAAAGAGCAGTAATGGTAACAAAGGAGCTAGGGAGAGAGGGATAGGAGAGGAGTCTGCTGCATGGTGGGGGCAACTCTCTGTCATGTTTTACGGTTCCTCTCAGGTGAGCCCAATCCGGAATCTGTCAGATGGGCAGAAGTGCCGAGTGTGTCTGGCTTGGCTGGCCTGGCAGAACCCCCACATGCTCTTCCTGGACGAGCCCACCAACCACCTGGACATTGAGACTATTGACGCCTTGGCAGATGCCATCAACGAGTTTGAGGGTGGTATGATGCTAGTCAGCCATGACTTCAGACTCATTCAGCAGGTGAGGCCCTGGCCTCAGCCTGAGGCACAGCAGAGAGCTTCTAAGGAAAGGCTGGGTAGAGCGCAGTTGTGGCACATGTAGGGTGCTTAAAGATGTTTGCTGGATTCACAGAAAGGTCTCAGGATAGATTGGCTGCTGAGAAACAGATCTCATGGCTTTGGGAGGATGTTGGCCTAAATGGAGTGGGGAGTCAGATTTTTATTACTGTTCCAAGATTCTTCAGTCCAAAAGTACTGATCTACTACTACAAGATTAGGAAGAAGGCAGCCACCAGTCGTGGGAAAGGTGCTGATTGTTCTGAATCTTTGGGAGAGATGGGGTGGAACAGGAAGTTTAGTGTGAAGCCTCTGAACAGATCTGACAGTAGGGGAAACCATGCTTCCCAGCTTGGAAGGCTGTAGAACCTGCTGGTTACGGTGCCCTAGGGTCAGACATCCCAAAGAACATAGGTAGTGAAACAGTTGGATGGGGTTTGGGTGAGGCCTCAGGGGAGAGTGTGGCATTTTCTCCCTGGAACCCCGTTGATTGGTTCTGGGGCTGCGGGGGGGGGGGGGGCGGGGTGGGAGAACGGCTGCCCAGTTCAATCCAGGATCTGCTTTCCAGGTTGCACAGGAAATCTGGGTCTGTGAGAAACAGACAATCACCAAGTGGCCTGGAGACATCCTGGCCTACAAGGAGCACCTCAAGTCCAAGCTGGTAGACGAGGAGCCCCAGCTCACCAAGAGGACCCACAATGTGTGAGCCCTTGGCCCCCTTGGGTCAGGAGCGCCACCTGGGGACTACCAGCTGTCGCCTGACAAGCCACTCAGGACAGGACCCTGGGGCTGCACTCCCGCATTGCTGCAATACTGCCCCCAGCCTCTCCCCATCTCAGCCTGCCTTCGCTGCACTGTTACCTTATCTACAGCTGGACAGTACCTGTCCGTTTCCCATTCTCCTTCCAGTTACATCTGTCCATGTCTGGACTTGGCTGGCTCTTCCCTCTAGCCTGTTGCTGGTTATGTTGCCCTAAGAGAGATGCAGCCAGAGGTACCCTAGGGTTAGCCCAAGGACCCATACCCTGGATTTGGCGTGTGAAGGAGTTTTAAGCGCCTCATTTTCTGGGTTTTGGTGATGTTGGAGGATTACCCCCAGCCCACCACCCCTGTTCCTTTTGCTTCTGGTTTGGAGCTCTGGACCAGGGCCTTGGTCCTGGTCTATTTTTAAATAATTATTTAACAGTGTAACTTTTAGACCTGAGTGACATCTACAAAGTGTCCAATAAAGAAAGAGGAACCCATGGTCCCTCTCTTCCTTCCCAGGTCTGTGGGGCCTTCTTCCCCTCCTCCCTGCAGCACCAGCATTCACCTCAGCAAGAGTTTGATGGGACTGAAGATTATCCTGTAGGAGATGAAGAGTGTCTCCCACTTCTGCCTTGAACTGGGACTCTTAGGCCTATGGTTCACATACCTTAACATGACTCTGAATCACCTGGAGGGCTCATCAGATCACAGATTGAAAGTTTCTGACAGTAGGTCTGGGTGATACTGAGAATTAACATTTCTAACAAGTTCCCTGTGATGCAGATGCTGAGTTGCAGGTCTAGGGGCCTTGATTTGAAAAGCACCATGCTGGAGTATGTTTTTCAGAGTGTGACCCGAGACTCCTGCTGCCACTTGCACCACAGTATGTGGGACACTTGTTAAAAATGTGGATTCTGAAATCCAGACCTGTTGGTTTGGTGCAGGGGGAAAGATTCAGAAATGTCCAAGGGCTTGCATCTCCAGCTGCTGTTCCTGGAGCAATACAGGAAGTGCTGTCAACTTAACTCGTCCACCTTCGTTTTCATCAGCCCTGGCTGGTTGACATCCAGCCCAGGCCTCCTGGCAGCCTGTGTGGTTCTTCTGAACTTGGAGCCCTTATGCCCCTAGGATATGCATGGCCAGTGTTAGTCCTGCGCTTGTCACTCTGCCTCTGGAACCTCAGCAGTCCTCCTGTGGGAAAACAGACACAGCCACAAGTTGTCATGTTACAGTGCATCTAAGAAGGGGGAAGAAACTCCCAGATGGTGTCTAAACCCCCAAGGAGCTCATAATCAAGAGGGAAAGCCAACAAGACATAGAAAGCACATAAATCAGATGTTAAATTGTGATTGAGATTAAATTGTTGAGTAGGAGACTCAGAAGTATTCAAAAGGGGGTGCAGTTTTGCATGAGCAGCTGCCCAGAAAGACTGGCTTAGTGCTCAACTTGAAAGATGAGTAGGGTCTTCTCAGATGGTCATCAAGTTCAAGGGCTCCCTTAGGCACAGGAGACACCAGTAAGAAACCAAGAGGCCTATGCTGCGCCTCATCCTCTAAGGGGCCTGGTCTGGTCGCTTGTGCCATTAAGTAGGGTTGAGAGCAAAATGGCCAAGTTGATCTGTCTTGAGCACCCAGAGCCTGGGTTCAGGGGAGCATGGTGTCAGCCAGCTGCTGCTCCTTCCACCAAGGAGCTGCCTGATCTCCAGAGTATGGCATGGCACCTGAGGTGCCATGGGACAGGAGGACCCCAGGACTGGGAGAAGTAGAAGCTGAATAGTAGTAGTACAGACAGCCTGTTTGTCAAAAAAAAAAAAAAGGCCAATCTTGGTAATTGTAAGAATACTTAGAAAGTCCACAAGTTATATATTTCTAAAATTAGCATTGCCTTATTTGGGAGTCAGAACTGCCTTCCCAGTACTCTTGAAGCAAACTTTGGCAGTCGCGGTAGTTGATGGGGACTGCTGTGCTCGTGCGCTGGCAGGTGGGGATGGTCTTTGGCTCTCTTGTCTCTCCCCCCCACACCTATACTTTTCATGCTGCTCCAGGTTTCTTTAATCACAGCATTCAAGAACCTGAAATATTTGTTCATATGTAGGGGTTAAGTGAGACGACTAACTCACCATTTCACAATAACTTTATCTTTGCAGATAACTTCCACTTGCATCCCCAAATAATTTGTTTTCAGAGAAGACGCATTGTTTCTCTACCCCTAGCTCCTAGTCCCAAAGGCCTTCCATGGACTCCCAGCCTAGGTTGCTTCCCGCTGTCTGTGTCTAGTACAGGCCCAGCTGGCCAACTCCCAGCTTCCGCCTGCAGTGCGAGCCTTGCATAGATTCTACTTTCACTTTTTTTGCCCCGTTCTTCCTAACTAAAATCATAACCTCATGGGCTGAGGATATAGCTCAGTTGGTAGAGTGCCTGCTTTGCATGCACAAGGCCCTGGGTTCAATCCCCAGCACCACCAAAAAAAAATCATAATCTCTCCTTCAAGACCAGCTTTAGGTCCCCATGTATTCCATGAAGTGCCCCTGGGTGCTCTGGCCCTCCTTAACATCCACACACTTCCTTAATTATTGAATGCAAGCCAGCCTTGTCTCTCCAGCCTAGCAGAGGGCTCTGTGGGGGGAAGAAGCTTGTGGTCCTGAAACCCCAGAGCCATGCCGGGCGCCAATGTACTCTGTGAATGTGGATGGTTAGCCTGGAGTCGGTGAACTTCAACAAGTGCATAAGCCCACTCAGGGAAGATTGGGAGATTTCTTGAAGAGGGAGTAATTAGTCCCAAGATTAATCCAGAATGTGTTCTGGGTAGGGTGGAGCTGAGCCTTGCCCCCACCTTCCATCCCAGGTGCTTGCCCCCAGCCACACCTGGCAGCGCAGTTGGCTTCTTAAAAGTGGCCCCAAGGCAAGGGAGGGGGCTGGCGAGAAGCAGGAGGATGAGCGCAGAGCTTGGGCGGCATCGGCGGCAACAGCAGCAGCAGCAGCAGCAGCAGCAGCAGCAGCAGCAACAACCCCGGGCCCGCAGGAGGTGGAGCTCTGGGGACAAAAAGTCCAAAAAACGTAGCCGGCGCAAAGAGACGTATTCAATGTATATCTACAAGGTGCTGAAGCAGGTGAGCGTGGGGAGCGAGAATGCGGGTTAGGGATGAACTGGCGAAGGGGCCCCAAAAGAGTGCTGGACTGGAAGCGGGGCTTGGTTTCTTGCTGGCACTGGCACAAGTGGCCACAGGCAGGCTGTGCCCCTCCTGAGGTGGCTGGTGTTGGTCTCAGGTCTCTACCTCTCAGTGTCTTGTGCACCTGTAGTCGGAGACATTTAAAGCATTCTCCCACCCTTTCCAGAGGACTGCAGGGCTCTTGGACAGAAATGATCTTGAAGCACACTAGGTGGGTCAGGCTGAGGGTAATGCACACACCATAATACAGACAGGGAGCCTGTGACTGAGGGGCAATTAGTATGACCTGGGTTCCTGGGAGAGGCCTGGTCAGGTAGTACTAGCTCTTTGAAGGGCTTAGGATTTGTTCCTGATGGATGAAGACCTTGAAGTCCCTAACTGGGGTAACACAGTCACATGACTGAGAGTGGCAGAGCCTGGGCTCCCCTGGCTTTGGACAAGCCCATAGCATCCTTCCTGGTAGCCCCTAATACCCAGTTGCAGGTGCCCTTCATTTATTCATAAAAAGCAGGATTCCCAGACTCGGCGCCTTGATAAACACTTTGGGCATCAATGGCTATTCATAAGCCAGTGTGAATAGAAGATCCAAAGCGCCCTGCCCTCACCTCAAAGCTGCTGCCTGCTTAGCAGGGCCAGGAAGAGGAACAGGTGGCTGCGCTGTCTGAGCTGGGGCTTGCCACCTGCCTAAAATTCCTTTTTTTTTTTTTTTATTCTTTATGAGTCAATGTCTGAATTTTTTTTTAATTATTGTTCAAAACATTACAAAGCTCTTGACATCATATTTCATACATTTGATTCATGGGAGTTCATAATCTGTCTAAAATTCCTACCCCTCTAGTAGATCAGTTCCCAGAGTGGAAGCCTGTCTCCAGTCTGAAGCCCATTAACAGTGTTAGTGAACTGGTACCATGGGATCTGGGATGTTCTCGTGGGTGGGGAAGGCACTGCTATGGATGGTCCAGAAGGGAAGCAGCAGAGGACAGGCTATACCCTAAGAGTGGAGGGTTTTGTGTTTTCTTTTTACCACCAGGGATTGAACTCGGGGACAACCAACCACTGAGCCACATCCCCAGGCTTATTTTGTATTTCATTTAGAGAGAGGGTCTCACTGAATTGCTTAGTGTCTCGTGGTTCCTGAGGCTGGCTTTGAACCCTCACCCTTCTGCCTCAGCCTCTTGGGATTACAGGCGTGCGCCACTCCACCCTGCTAGAGGTGGTATTATTAATCCCAGAAGATTAACCCCATTTCATGGCTCAGGAGTTTCTGGAAGGGTTGGACCAGGCCTGGGCTTGCCAGCAGAGGACACCTACGAGTTGGTTCCTTGTTGCTGCTCACTGAACTTGACTGCTTCTCAGCTCTGAGCTCATCAGCAACCCTAAGAATGGGATGTGAAGAGAAGGGATTTGAGCTAACCCACCCTTGAACAGCAGCAGACTTCCTGCCAGCAGTGGGGACCAGAGGCAGCAGTGACAGTGGGTGGCTGGGTGTTAGGAGCCCCGTTCTAATTCTGGCTCCCCCACTGGCCTGGTGCAGGCGGGGGCAGTCACTTCTCTCCCACTTTGCACCTGACCAGGTCTACCTACTCAGGCCTCTACCATTTGTTTCACTAGAGATCAGCTAGTTCAAAAGGCTCTGTGACAAGAGGAAAACAAGGCCCAGAGGTTGATTCCAGGTCATAGTGATTCACAGCCCAGATCACAGGTCTGCCTCCTGGTCTGGTGCCACTGTGACAGTCATGCAGGTGTGCTTACTGGAGGGTAACTTGGCACCAGCCATTTGACCAGGAATAATTAACCTTCATTATTTCTCATACAGGGTTCTAAGATGCAGATTTACTAGCACAATCTAATAGCAAACAAACCCTGAAATGTCCATTAAGAGGAATGGCAATGAACATGATTTACCCACCCCACTATGGCTCATCTATGCAAATGCATTAGATGAAAACAAGGTGCATGTGTAACTGATTCCACTCATTAAGTAGAAATGCTTGTTTATGCTTCTATAAGGAATTTAATAGTTACTCTGCCATTAGAGAAACTTTTTTCTTTTTGAAGTTGTATATACAGCCATGTCATTTAACAACAAGAACACATTCCGAAGCTGGGCATGGTGCACACACCTGTAATCCCAGCTGCTCTGGAGGCTGAGGCAGGGGGATCATGAGTTCAAACCCAGCCTTGGCAACTTAGCAAGGCCCTAAGTAATTCAGCAAGATGCTGTTTATAATAAAAAAGGGCTGGGGATGTAGTTCAGTGGTTAAGCACTGGTATCGAGGAGGGGAAAAAAAATTTCCACATTCTGAGAAATGCATTATTAGCTAGTTCCATTCTTATGCAAATGTCAGAGTGTACATGTACAAGAGAAGATGGCCATGATGGTCACTAGGCAATATGATGGTACGGGACCACTGTTATATATATGCAGTCTGTTGCTCACTACGTGGCACATGACCGTAGCAGTAGAAAGAAAACAGTTTTGATTTCCCTGTCTGGTGGCCTCCAGGGAGATGCTAGTGAGGAGACCTAGGTTCCTGTCCCTGGACTCTAAGGGTCCAGGTTGGGCTGGGCCAAGGCTGTGGTGCACACAGCTGTGGTTAACAGATGGTCTTGCTGCTTTTCCAGGTGCACCCGGATATCGGCATCTCTGCCAAGGCCATGAGCATCATGAACTCCTTTGTGAACGATATTTTTGAGCGGCTGGCTGGTGAAGCTGCCCGGCTGGCCCAGTACTCAGGCCGGACAACCCTGACTTCCCGGGAAGTCCAGACAGCCGTGCGTCTGCTGTTACCTGGGGAGCTGGCCAAGCATGCTGTCTCAGAGGGCACCAAGGCTGTCACCAAGTACACCAGCTCCAAGTGACCAGGGCCTGCCATAAATAAAGGGTGACCTGTTCCCGTGCACTGTGGTGACTTGAAAAGTGGGTGTGTGGAGCCAGAGTGTTGTCTGGGGCAAGGGTAAACTTGCTCTTTGACACTACCACAGATGGAATCCTAACACTTCTTAAAATCTGCTTTCTAAATGTATTCCTGGAGCACCAGGTGATAGTGATTTGTAAGCCTAAGACCTGCTTTCATTGGTGGAGAGCAGGAGCAGGGCTGGGACAAAGGTCCTGGGTTTATGCTGCTGTTTCCAGCTGTGAGCCTGAAATTCCTTGGTATGTTACTTCCAGGCTGTGGTTTTATGAATCTGTCTTACATCGACTCTCGTTGTTCCCTGTATGTGGCAGCCACTGTGCTGGGCAAGGGGCTAGGCTTACATGTTCAACATACAGAACCGAAGGTCAGACCAGCTTCTAAATAATCAGCTGAGATTAGTTGGAGTTTTTATTTCCCCTAACATTTTCTTCCCCCTCAATTTCAGAACAAATCAATGGATGTTTTTGAGATTCCTAACTTTTCTTCTTCACTTGTATTTCTTTATTTCTGTGATTGGACCCAGGAGTTGTCTGCCCACGGAGCTACATCTCCAGCCACCCCCCCCCTTTTTTTTTTTAAGATGGGTCTTGCTAAGTTGCCAAAGCTGGCCTCTAACTTGCAGCCTTTCTGCCTTAGTCCCCCAGGTTGCTGGTATTACAAGCATGCCCCATTGCACCCAACTTCCAATTTTATTTTGAAACTTGCAGAAGAATTTTAAGAAAGTGTAGCAGCTTCCAGGTGCAGTGGCACCTGTTTGGGAGGCTGAGGCAGGAGGATTACAAGTTCAAGGCCAGTCTCAGTAACTTAACGAGACCCTGTCTCTAAATAAACACAAAAAAAGTGCCCCTAGGTTCAATTCCGGGTATCAAAAAAAAAAAAAGTGCTGTAGCCACCCCTGGCCTTCCCACTTACCCTCTGACCACGTGCTTTCCCTCTCATTCTGCCTCTGCCCTTTTCCATGTGCATAAGACCTACACATTCTGCTCCAAACATGGAGGGGTTGGAGTGAAGGGGTGGGACTTAGACTGATCTAGAATCCTTTATGTTCCCTTGGTGATTGGATCACCTCAGGTTGTTGCCTTCAGCTTCATTGCACTGAAAGGCGCTACCTTGTCCTGGTAGCTGACAGCTGGCTGTGGCCCTACATGCCCCACAGGTTTTTTTCCTCACAACTCAAGCCTCCCAAGAAGATTCCCCAAGCTGAGGACTGAGGATCCACATTCAGGTCCCAGGACTCGAAAGGGGCAGCCCCAGGAGATCATGGCCCTGAACTCACTGTTCCCACTCCACCACTTGCTTCACACCTTGCTACAGAAGTGTGCATCATGGACCAGCAGCTTCCACGTCACCTTGGCACTTGTTGGGAGCTCAGGCTCTTAGGCCCCACAGCTCTGAAATGGAATCTACATGTTAACAAGATTCTCTAGTAACAAATTTGAGAACTCCTCCCCGCTGCCCCCTGCTCCCCACTTTCTTTGGCCCTGCTCCTCATTTATTTATTCATAAGCCTCTACTTAACCCTGAGCAAAAGAATGGCTCCCCCTGAGCAGAGGGGCTGCTGCTGGCGGAATGCTTTGAGCTTCCAGAGAAGCCATCCTGAGCCTGGAGCTCATGGCAATGGGGAACATCCACGGGTAGCTGCGAATGAGCCCCAACACCGCGTTGCTGTTTGGGTCAGCTTCTTTACCACTGTAGCCAAAACAATTAGAGGAGAAAAAGTTTATTTGGGGGCTCACAGTTTCAGTCCATAGCTGGCCAGGTCCATTCCTCACAGCTGGAGGTGAGGCAGAACAACATGGCAGAAGTATAAGGCAGAGGACAGCTGCTCAGGACATGGCAACAGGAAGGAGAGAGAGAGAGAGAGAACAAGTGCTCACCACTGAAAATATGTACACCTCAAAGGCGCACCCCAAGGGCCCGCTTCCTCCAGCCACACCATACCTCCCTATAGTCACCACCCAGTTAAACCCTCTCAGGGGATTAATTTATTAAGGCTCATAGCCCAATAATTCCACCTCTAAATTTTCTTGTTTAAACTTTCTAAACATCACTCCTTCTGGAACCCCAAGTTCATAGTCCTCCAACACTCACAGCTTGGGCCCCCCACATCCCCTGCCCTCTCCTAGCACAGAATTCCACATGGGCCACGTGAACCTCCTTAACCCAGCCAGCCCCAGGGAGGGAGGTATGGTTGTGCTGTCACACAGAGGAAAGTGGGGACTTCAGGGCCTCTGAGCCCCAGTCCAGTGCCCTCTTAGCCCCAGTCCAGTGCCCTCTTCCCCACCCATTACACAGGCTTCTAGGACAGTCATATACAAGGGGAAAGGCAGGGTGGAGCATGTGTTTAGCGTGCACATGGCCCTGGGTTCGATTCCCAACACCAACACTCCCACCAAAAGAGTAAAGTCAGGTTGCATGGAGTGGAGGTTGAGGAGCTGGACCTGGTGGCATGCCCCAGTGGTCCCCGCAATTAGGGAGGCTGAGGCAGGAGGACGGTCTGAGCCTAGCAGTTTGAGGACAGCCTGGGCAACATAGTGAAACTCCATCCCCAAAGTAAAATCTTTTAAAAGAATAGGAGGCTGAAGGAAGTTAAAGAAAAGAAACTTTCCCAAGTGAGGAGTCCGTTTACCCTTAGGACAGATACTTACCCAGAGGCTTACAGCTTACAGGTGACTTCAAGTAGAGACTTATTGATTCTCACCAGAAAAGTGGCCACAGTCATCCCCCACACTGCCCTATCCTTTCTGCAGCCTCTGCCCCTGCCCGCTTCAGTACTGCCATCTCAGGGATGTCCGCCTAGGGAGACATCCAATCCTGCACTCCCAATCCCTCCCCTCAGCCTTAGAACATTGGCACAACAATGGGTCAGAACTCTTAACACTAGGCCGTTCTGCCCCCGACTTTAGGGAAACCACAGAGGTTCTTTGAGTTCCACGGCCAGCTCAAAACAGTGTGAGGAGTGGGCACTATGTCTGAGGGGTGAGTGAGGGAAGAAGGAGGCTGGCAGGGTGGGGAGAGCAAGGGGCAGAGCACCCTGCTGGCTGTGAGAGGCAGGGCAGGGAGGGCTCTGGTGCTGGCCAGCCCTGCGTGGCTCCTGGCCGTTCGCATGGCTCCCTGGCTGCTTCTGCCAGTGGACAGCTTTTGGTCTTCAGACTTCCCTTGGACTATTCCTTCCAGCACCAGGTTCTGGCCTGGAAAAAGGACTCTTCTCTACCCTCATCTCTCTCCCTTACACCCCACCCATCATCCCAGACCACTGCTGCATCGATTGGCTGGGCCCCCATCTGGAGGTATCCACACTCCCTAAACTCCAAGTGCCCTTTCCTTTTCCTTACAGGAGCCCGGCCACAGGCTGCCTCCTCCCCCAACTCCTACAGCTACACCCACACTTCTCTCCTTGTTACGCCATTGGAGACCTAGAGCCCCCCCAAACCCATGCCTCTTTAAGCCAAGCGGGTGCCTACTTACTCCAACCAGCCAATCACTTCTCTGAAGTCCACTTTGGTACCTTAAGGAACATCACTCCTTCTGGAACCCCAAGTTCACATCCCTCCAAAACTCACAGCTTGGGTCCCCGCATCCCCTGCCCACTCTCCATGGTTCAGAGCACAGCATGTCCGACTTCTCTGCAGAACTTACCAGCGCCTCTGGGAGGCCTCCCATGTGACCCTGCAGGAGCTGCTGGACCAAGAGCAGCCCCTGCTTGAAGCTGTGCCCAACCGGGACCGGCAGTCCTTCCAGCATAGACTCTCAGTGTTCTACCTGTACTACCTGGGGCTGCTGCGCCGTTTCGACACCATCTATGACCAGATGGTTCAGCCACAGAAGCGCCGGTTGCTGCGGCGGCTGCTGGATGGCGTGGCGGGTCGTGTGCTGGAGATCAAGGATGAGCTGGTTCGTGTTGACCTATGTGAGACCCACTGCCTGGACCGCGTGCTACAGGATCTCAAGCTGACCCCAGTGCGTGCACTGCCACCTCAGGCTAGGTGGGAGGTGGGGGCTGGCCTTGACCTACCACTGGTGTTGAGACATCTGCAAAGACAGGAAAGCCAGGCAGATCAGAGGATGGGCTTGGTCTCAGGAGAAGAGCTTCAGGAACTGGGGATGCACGGAGAATAAGGCCCCACCCACCAGTGCAGCTGGGAAGACCCATGAACTACAGGGGATAGGTGAGAAGAGTCCTCTAGAGCCTGGCTTCTCAAAATGTGGTCCATGGACATTGCCTTGGAGGTGGTTGGAAATGCAGAATGTCCACCAGCACCCAGAGCCACCAAATCTGCACCTGCCTTTTCACATGCCTCCCAGGTGATCTGAGCACATGGGAAAGTTCTAGAAGGGCTTTCCTAGAGCAGAAAGCTACTGCAGGGCCTCCAAGCCTACCCTAAGGTCAATATGAAACTTGCCTTAACCAACTACTGGTTGGTGTGGACATGAACAAAATGCAGATTCCCCAGGCCTTGCCATTCTGCTGTGGGAGTCTGGGGAGGACATAGGAATCTGCTTTATTATCTTTCCAGTTGCTTTTGAGGCACAGCCAGGTTTGGGACCACTGCCACCTATTGTGATCCTCCAGAATTCAACTCTATCCAGATGGGGACAGGGCAAGAAAGGGACAACCCTGGGGGGGAATTCACCCACAACCTAGAAGTTTCCCACTCCAGCTCCAGGAGGGAGGCAAATACTGCAGAGAATGGCTAAGCAGCTGGAATGGCAACAGTTTGGCCCAATGGCCTGGACTTGTGATTCCTGACCCTCCTCCCCACATCTTGCCCCAAAGGCAGACTTGGAGGTTCCAATTCCCAAATACTTCCAGCTGGAGCAGTACGCAGCCATGAAGGAGCGCAAGCTGATCTTGGCTGAGATCCTGTCCAGAATGGAGCCAGAGCACCCCACGGAGGCAAGTGGTGGAGACACCCTCCCAGACGCACCCCTACCCCTCTCCTGGAATAGAGGTCTTACCTGGACTAGTCACAGCTCAGAGTCGCCTTGGCCTTCTCCTCCAAGGCTACTCTAGTGCTCCCTTATCTTCCCAAACCAGGGCAGGACTTGGGCACCCAGATGCTCCTAGTGCCTCCTTTGGAGGCTGGTCTCTCGCTGCCCACCCAGGATGCAAGCTCTCCCTCATGTGCTCCTGCTCTTTTGCCCCTGCTCTGGCCAGACCTTCACAGGAATCAACCGGACTGACGCCATAATTCTAATACAAACTTCTGAGCGAGCCAGGCAAGGCCGCCTCAGAGCCACCTTCATGCAAGAGATCCAGAGAGAGGAGGAGCGGGATCGGAAGATTCGGGAGGAAGGGCATCAGAGGTTCACTCAGGACCAGAGTGCTGTCATTATACAGAAGGTAACCATGGGTACCCAGGAGGAGAGCCAGGGCAGTCATCTCCTCCAGGAAGCCTGCCAAGCTACTGGTTGATCACAAGAAAGCAGCTGCCTGGATTCTCTTGCCCCACGGTTAGATCCTAAACCAGGGACCCTAATCAGACAGTAAGCATGTGTCTTGTTTGCTTATTATTTAGTCTACATCTCTCTCCTACAAAGCATTTGGAGTGGGATGCCATTGAAGACCCAGAAACAGAACGATCACTTTAATGACAGTGGGGCACACCAGTAATTTCAGTGACTCGAGAGGCCAAGGCAGGAAAGGATTCCAAGTTCAAGGCTGGCCTGGGCATCTTAGTAAGACTCTGTCTCAAAATAAAAAATTAAAAAGACTGGGAATGTAGCTCATGGGTTGATCATTCCTGGGTTCAATCCCTAGCACCAAAAAAAAAAAAAAAAAAAAAAAGGGATCCATATAAAGTAGTAGAATTGATTAATGATCATTCTAAGAAAGTTTTAAGAATAAATATTAAAATGTATCCTGTACCTCCTGGCAACTGAGGTTGAGGGGAAATAGGAAAAATTCAAGATTGACAACTAATGTGACCTGAGCATCCTGAATCTCTGTGTCTCCTGGGACCACCTTTATTTCAACATCAAAATAGCACAACCACAGCCTAACCCCAGCTAACTCAGAAGGCCCAGACCGACCCCGAGTTTTCCCCAAGGTGGCCATGCCTCTCCTCTCTGGACAACCACTCCGCACCTCTCCAGGTCAGCCTTGGGTACCCCAAACTGTGGACCTGGCTCTCCCACTATTCCCCAAAATGCTTTTAACACAGATGGACCAGAGACTGTAGGGGCCCGAGGGAAATTCTAGTGCAGGAAGGGACTACTCTGTCCCTTCAGCCACTGCTCTCCTGAGGCCCTGCCTGGTCACAAAGCTTCTTGCCACCTTTTCCTTCCACAAACCCATGGAGACATGGGGCTGGGTCTTCTTTCGCCTTCAAATCAACCTCCTCGTCCATTTTCTCTCTCAAATCCCACCCAGGATGCAAGCTCTCCCTCATGCCCAGTGCCCCACAAATTTCTGTCTCCTAGCCTACTACTAGAAAGGAGAAACCCTTCTTATCAAAACACAAAAGCAAACCAACAGCAAATGACCACTCTGTGAAGGCTTGTCTGCCCCCAGAGGGGACAGAGGTCTGTGTTACTTCCCAGTATGTGGAGCATCCCAACTGAGCCCTGGTGTGTTCAGGGCTGTACCAGTGTCTGGCTGTATGGAGAGGAGGTCCTTAATGCAGGGCTCAAGGGAGCACATCTTTTGAGAAGGAGAATGGTCCTCAGAGACTGACTCCTGCTCCCTGTGCCAGTCATTTAGTCCCTGTTGCCACACATCAGATGTACAGAAATATTGCATCCTGGTCTTGGTGTTGTCTGGTGCACAAATAAAACAAAAAAATATGTGAAGCATTCAATTATTGTGGGCTGTCCTGTGTTGGTCACAGGAGCAGGAGGACCAAGGCCAGAAAAGAAAGGCAGGAGCCAGACCCTGCTCGTGAGGTGCTTATGAGAACAGAAGGCACAGGCTGGGCACTGGCCTGGCTTCCCTCTGCCTCTCACCCCACCTCCCATCCACTGGCACTCATCTGTCCTCAGTGGCCGGGCAACTGACAAAAGGCACTGGGCCAGTGCTGTACTTAGGCCTGGAAGAGGTCATGTTCTGTCTCTGGACTGGTTCCCTAGGGTAGAAACAATGGGATTAGCAGGGGAGCTCCCTCATGCCCACAGCACTGGTGCCTGTGTCCCTGGGTGGAACCAAGTATTTATTCCAACTGCTACGGGAATTCTAAGAAGGGACAGAGGGGAAGGCTCCCTGGAGGAGGTGGTGCCTGATCTTTACCCACACCTCAAAAGAACCCACGGATTAAGGTAAAGATGAGGAAGAGGAGGGGATGCCTTGGAAACCACACCATTCGGGGCTATTCCTATGGAGGACACACCTCCCAGTACTGCCTCAGGCCCCAGCCTGACCTCCTCTGCCAAAGAGGCTGTTGCTCCTCCCAGGCCTGAGCCCTGTCCCTGAAACATGGGTTGTGCCTCATGTCGCCACCCCTAGGTATGGAAAGGCCATCAGCAGAGGAAACGCACCCAGCAGGACCGGCTCGCAGAGATGGAGTTCATCGGCATGGTGAGCCAGGCTGGCCAGGGCAGTGGTCCCACTCGTGTCTCCATCCCCTGCCCCCTGCCTCTGCTCAGCCTCTTCAGCCCCACGCCACCTGCCTGCCTTGCACTCAGGCTGGCAGGAGATCCTGCAGAGAAAGAAGTATGAGACAGGAAAAGCTCCAAGCCTGTCTCCTCACAGCCCTCCCCCTTCCAGAACAATCTCAGTGGTGGAGGTAGTAGCACAGAGAGTCCTGGACTTGGAATCCCTGCCCAGCTAGAAGGGGAGGCTGCTGGGATGGACCCCGCCCAGCGAGGAGGTTGTGCGGCCCCTGAGAGTACCATACAATGCTGCCTCAGCCCTGTCGCAGCTTTGGTGAACCAACAGGGGCCAAGTCAGGGAGGAGCACACCCCAAACCAGGGCATTCAGGCCACAAGCTCCCCACTGGCTCTAGGGGCCTCTGCAGACTTGCTTCTCCCCTGCTCTGGGTGGACTAGAAATGTGTGACTGTGGACCTCGCGGAGTGGTGGTGGCAAGGGGCAGACTCCCCCGGTGCACAGTGTGAGCGTGGATGCTGGGAAGGGTGGTGCAGTGCCTGTGTTTGGCCGGTAGCAGTCCCCCAATCTGTCCTCTGCTCCCCAACAGCCCCCTCATTCAGCTAGTCTCTGCTGACCTCAGAAAGACAGGCCCTGCCAGGGCTGAGAGTCCACTCTGGAGAGCGGCTGGCACTGGGGGCCAGAGGATAGGATGGGAGGGCTCCGCAGGGTGAGCTGCAGTGTCTTGGTGGGATGGGAGGCCACCGCAGGGCCGCTGTGTGGGAGTGGAGGTCAGAGACCTGTTGGGGGCTGGAGAGCTGGACTCCCAGGAGGGAGAGCAGGCGGAAGGAGGCAGGGGTCTGCCTGGGTGGGGAGAGGGTTGGGGGGCACCTCGCGGCAGTGGCAGTGGGTGAGGAATGAGCCTGGCCGCCCGGGCCCATCAACAGTGTGAGCTCAGCGTTTTCAGTAATTGTCTCTGCGCAGAGTGATATTTAAAATACATTTGGGAGCCAATGAGGCGGGAAAGTGGCTGTGAGAGCGGCTGCCAACCCGGCCGCCGGGCGGGGCGCACACGGGGGGCTGGGGCGGCCCGGGGGGAGGGTGTGCTGGGGGACTGGGCAGGGGGGCAGCGGATGCATCCAGCAAACTCATTATCAGAGTAATTTACAGACGAATTTCGGCTCCAAACACAATTTCTCCTGATGCAGGCATACCCGCCGTTCCGCGTGGGTGTGTGCGCGTGCATGCGGGTGCGGAGGGAGTCGGGGGGCAGGTGTGTGCCTCAGGATGGAGCTCCATCCAGGCCAGAAGCTGGGTCCTCCCACGCCTGCTCCTGAGCCCCCGGGCCTTTCTCTCCCCTTCCGCCAGCTCCCCTCCACCAACCAGGCGGAGCGCTTTCGAATCATGTCCCGGGCCAAACTCAGGGAGGAAACGCGGAGGTTGCGCCAGGTGGAAAAGGAGGAGCAGTTTCGGCTGGCCATGGAGAAGACCCCCGAGGCTCTCAGAGAGGTGGAAGGGCCTGACCTGAAGGAGAAAATGAAGGACCAAATCCGACAGTGGTTTATTGAGTGCCAGTCAGTGTCCACAGCCCCTGGTGACCCAGGCTTCAATCCTTCACTCTCTCTCCTCACTTGGGTCCCTGGAGTGACTCCAGCCTCATCCTCCCCACCCCACCCCACCCCGGTTCCCTCCTGTAGCCCAGATTGGCCCTTTCTCCCTCTATCCCCGCCCCAGCATCCTGCTGTCACTCTCGGTTTAAACCTGGAGCCCCCAGTGAATAGAACCATCACTGCACCTGACTTCATTTCCCTGTGGGAAGAGAAAATGATAGGATAAGACAATTAAAAGCATCGTGAATGTCCGTAGAGCAGACCAGGCTTTCCAATATGGAACTATCCATTCCTTCCCTCTTTCGCCCATCTTCCTGGTCCTTTGTCCTTCTCTACCCTTCTCTCTATCCCTCCATCCATTCACCCATCCCTGTCTCTGTCCACCCATTCACCTATCCATCCATCTAGCCATTCACTCACCCACTCATCCAGCCGTTATGTCATCCTCCCACCCACCTGCCCATCTGTCCAAGTACCATCCATCTGTCCAACTTCCCATCCATCTCTCCAATCATCTTATGTCCATTCAGTGCCCTTACTGGTCGGTTCCCTGATTATCCAGAGGAGTCTCTAGGAGGATCCTACCTGATCTTTGCAGACAAGACTCCAGAGCAGGTACCCTGGAGGTGGGGACAGGAGGTTTTCTCTGGCAGGCAGAGCTTGAGGTTATAGAAAGTAGAGAGTGGCAGTGGATTGGAGTGGGGTCAGCCACAATGGAGGCAAGTGTGGCCAGAGGAAAGATGGGACTGCATGGGGCTGGAGAAGGCAGTCATGGCCTGGAGAGGAAACAGTCTGGTGAGAGCACTGCGGCTCCAGATCCCCAGGGCCCAGGTCTGAGCCCCCCTTAGTGCCCTTTTCCTCCTGGACCCCACTGCCGTCTCTCCATGTTCAGCCATCAGCCGCAGCAGTTTCCCTGGGACTCTCAGGTTCACCCGTCTCAGACCATAGCTTCCTCACTCCTATAAAATTCCCTTGGTCTCCAAAATGCTTTTTTCGTTGGCCGCAGGTGAAACTAGAACTGGAGATTCAGTCTCAGGAGAGCAAAAAGAAGGAGCAAGAGAAGAATAAGAAAAAGGAAACAGAACAGCCTACACCAGAGAAGAATAAGAAGAAAGAGAAGGAGAAAAAGACCAGGGTGGTGAGACATCTCCTCAAACACAGGGCAGGTGGGCAAGGAGGAACCAAGTCTGGGAACTGGTGTAGGAAGGCTGGTGCCAGGAAGAATCAGGCCATTTGTGATGGGTGAAGGTGATGGGGTCGAGGTCAAGGCTCATTCTATTCTAGGAAGCTGATATGACGCTGAAAATGTTGCCATCCAAGTTTATACCCATAATTGATGCTGGACACAAGGAGTACAAAAGTGAGCAGCCAAAAGCTGACAAGCGTCAGCCTTGATCACGGGAAAGTGGGCATCTGCCATGTGTACATGAGGTGCCAGTGTGGGTGTGGCTGTGGCGGCTGCAGGATAATGGGAAGCGAGGAAGGGGTGGGGTGGTCCCTGGGTAGGGTTGTTATGGTTTGGATCTGAATCCTGTGGTCACCGGCCTTGGGGTCAAGGTCTGGGCAGAAGGAATGCCAAATGGCTAGGTGGGAACCGAGGGACCTGCAGGGGCCAGTGCATGCTTGTGTGCTGTGTGTGCATATATACTCGCCTGTGTATACTGGGACTCCAGCCTTCGCCCATCTCTCCATTTTCTGGGTCAGATCTGTGGCAGAACCGACCTGAGAGCAAACACCCAGACCAGAACTTTGACTCTGAGACCCTCCGGAAGGAAAAGAGGAAGGAAGTGGAGCTGGAGATCCGGATTCAGGTGCGGGTGCTGGACCCATGCTCCCATTGCGGCTCCTCTTCCCTCCTCTCCCTTTTGCTAGCCTCCCCAGTCCCTCTGTGCCGTACCCCAGTGACCTGTTGATCCTCTGGAGACCCTGCTGCCCTCCAGCTACCATGATATCCCCACCTTCCTGAGGCCCCCTTGTCCCCATTCTTCCTGGGCTCCTGATGCAGTATGGAGTCAGCGAAAGGGTTCTGAGCTGGGGATGGACTAGGCCACCAATCACTGCTGCCAACCTACGAACACTGTGCCCGCCCACGAGGGCTTTGGGAGCATGGGGCACATCATCTTCAACCAGCCCAGAGCAAGATGGGTGGTGGCCCACATAGAAACCCAGCCCTATGGGGCTGGGGATGTGGCTCAAGCGGTAGCGCGCTTGCCTGGCATGCATGTGGCCCGGGTTCGATCCTCAGCACCACGTACAAACAAAGATGGTGTGTCTGCTGATAACTAAAAAAATAAATACTAAAAAAATTCTGTCTCTCTCCCTCTCTCTCTCCTCTCTCACTCTCTCTTTAAAAAAGAAAGAAAGAAAGAAAGAAACCCAGCCCTAGGGGCCACGCAGCTGCTCTAGCCACAGACTTTGAGGGGTGGATCTCAGGCTTGAACCCCCCTTGGGGCCTACCCCACACTGATGGCCCAGGAGAGTGAGGCTCCTGAGAGAGCAGGACACGGATAAGGACTTCCTCCCCTCTTGTGAGGCTCCCACTCCCCAGCCCCACCCCAGCCCCTTTCCCACTCATCCTGCCTGTCCCCAGGTGGACGAGCTGATGCGTCAGGAGCTGAAGAACTTGCGTCTGGCTGTGGACAAGGAGGAGGAGAGACCCTTGAAAGCTCCAAAGGCAGTGGAGGGATAAGGACTGGTCGGGGGAGGGCATGTGGGGTGGGGAAGAAGGGAAGGACAATTACCTATGTGCTTATTTCCAACCAGAAAAAGCCTGGAACTAAAATTGGAAAGAAGAAGGGAAAAGATCTGACCCAAGACAGGTCTCAGACCCTGCTATGCTTGCCTCGCACTGTGGGTGGTGGAGAGAGCTGGGTCCCAGATGGGAGACTGACCACTGGTCCTGGTTCTGCTGCTCTGTGGCCTTGGGGAAGTCACTTCACTGCCCTGGACCCCTGACCTCAGTTCTTAACCTTTGATAACACAGAATAAGATGTCAGTGAAGATTATAATAATCATTGCTTCTTCTAAATCCTCACTCCAAGCTTTGCCTCAGTTAGCTCCATCCCCCACCATGACATCTCCCCCATGCCCCAGTCTCTCTCTGGGGCACTGAGAGACACTTTGGCAGCCATCCCTCCCAAGGGATTAAGGTCTTAAACTTAGTTTCAGGAACTGGACAGTCTTCGATGACTGGGTTTCAAATGGTGGAGTTTGGGGCATGGGAGACTGATGGAGAAAGTTGTCACTGGGACCATTGGCCCCATCACATGTTCCTCTGTGGGGGACCTTCTCTCAAGACAGTGGCTAGGGCTGCCGCTTCTCTCTAGTTGTCCAGGAGCACTGCTGATATCTCCCACTCTCCCTCTCCCGGTGCCTACAGCACCCCACCTGTCCATTTCCCTTGGTCCTTGCTTGCCAATGTCCTTGGGGTCTCCATGCCATCTTCCTCTAGAACTGTGAACTCGCTGTATGAAGAGCTTGTCTTTTTTGGCCTTCTAAAGAAGAGTGTGGCAGTGGCGTTGAAAGACTATGTTGGTGAGCCCACCCCACACACGTGCTCCCAGGGTGGCTCCTGCCCTGGTCCACAGCCTTGCCTTCCCAAGCCCTTCTTTCTCTTGGATGACCCATGGGAAACTGCTCACCCTGTCCCCTCAGGTGACTGCCTCTATCTTGGGTCTGCTCTGTGTTTGGCCAACAAGTTGCCCATGCCCTCTCTGTTTGACATAAGACAGAACATGGCCTTGTATGGCGTCCTTCGGCTGGGTGAGAGGCCTGGGGAGAGACGAGTCTGTGTTGGTGGGGTCAGGCGGGGGTGGGGGTGGGGTTCAGGGGAGGTGGCTGTGATGGCCATGTCCAGTTTGGGCTTCCCCTCCCTAGGTGCCACAGGTGCATGTTGGACTCCTGCCTTCCCCAGGCCCATCCTGGGCCACCCCAGCAAGGGTCCACACTGCTAGCTCCTTCCTCAATCCTAAGGATATTAGTCCCATTTCTAGAAGGCCAGTCTGCACACCCAATGAAAAACCAGGGAGAACCTTTCTGAAGCATCTTGTCACATATGTTTCAATTCCATCCCAACACGGTCCAGGGACGGAACCAGGCGGCATGGAGAACAGAAGGGCAGAGGGTGAAGGGTGTGGGCAGAGGGTGGCGGGCTCCCTCCTGACCCCAAAACAGCTTCCTGCCATGGAGATTCCTAAGCCATTCACTGTTTTCCAGGCTGCAGGCCAGGAGGAGCTGCTCAGGTGTGGGGATGGTAGTACGGCCCTGGCTGGAACCCCGCCCTCCCAGCCCAGGCCCTCGCCTGGCATAACAAGGTCTCCACCAGTCCACCATCTGCCTTGGCTCTCCTCCCCTCCAGGCTCCCCAGATGTCCACTCCATGGCTCCCCTCATCCGCTCCATCCTTCTGGTGGGCCCCTCTGGCATGGGGAAGAAGATGCTGGTTCAGGCTGTGTGCACAGAAACTGGTGCCAACCTGTTTGGCCTGTCACCCAGCAACCTTCAGGGCAAATATCCTGGCAAGAGTGGGGCGCAGTTGATGATTCACATGGTCTTCAAGGTCCGGAGCCCCTGAATTTTGTGTTTCTAGTTTTCAGACTTAGGGCAACAGAGCAGGGTGGCTTTATGCTTCGAGGGTTACCCATCTGCCTATTTGGGGGGGTTTCAAAAACAACACTGAACTGGTGAGGTCTCCCTTCCAACCCCTGATAGGAGCTTGGGTTCCCCCTGAACTCCTGTGGTAAAGGTGGGAGGAGACAGGAGGTGGCACAGGAAGATGAGGCCTCAGACGTAGCCCCTCAGACGTAGCCCCTGCCCCACCATGGAGTTGTGGTGTGGATGGATGTGTGTGCAAAGCACTAGCAGGAAGGACGGGCAAAGCGTGGAGCACCAAGGTCAGTCCCTGCACAGAACCAGCCCTGATCCTGGTGCACAACCAGGTGGGGATGTGACCCTTCCCCAGGGAGTCTTACATGTGATTTCTATCCTCTGTCCAGGTGGCCCGGCTCCTACAGCCCTCTGTGATCTGGATTGGAGATGCTGAGAAGACTTTCTATAAGAAGATCCCCAAGGAAGAGAGGAAGGTGAGGAAGCACAGGCAAGAAGGGCTGTGAGGACAGGCCCTGCAGACCCCCTCACCACCACCTGGGCGGCCCCCTGCCCTCCTCGCGCCTCCTCTCCCTGTCTTGAAGCAGGACGGACAGCCTCTCCCTGCCCCACTCGGGGCTGACAGGAGGCTGATGGGGGACATGTGCTCTGAGAACACAGGGCCCTGCAGGCCCAATCACCCTGCCGACCCCACCCCCCTCTCTTCCCGGAGCAGATGGAACCAAAGCGAATAAAGAAGGACCTCACGAGGGCCTTGCGGCTGCTGAATCCCGGAGACCGCGTGATGCTCATAGGGACCACAGACCGGCCACAGCTGGCTGAGATAAAGGGGCTGTGCCGGATGTATGAGCGGATCCTCCTGGTGCCACGGCCGGATTATGCTTCTCGCTATGGTGAGGCCAGGGCCTAGGGAGATGGGCCAGAGAAGGAGTCCAGTTAACACTGCCCCTGCCAGGGCCCCCACACCTCTTCCCTTCACCCCATGGCCACTACGATCCCACCCCTCAGAAGCCCCATGTCAGATCCAGAGGGCTGCTAAGCAAGCAGCCCCACAACCTGGACCTGGCTTCAGCCCCAGGGACACAGGCACGTCCCTTCTGTTCTTGAGAGTCCCCATTTCCTGGTGTTCATCAGAGAGGACAATCCCTACCACTCTGAGTCCCAGACCTTTCTGGGGAAGAGGCAGTGCTTTCCAGAGACGCAGCTCCTTCCAGACTCAGGTGGAGGCTGTGAGGCCTGGCTGGCCACCCTGATGCCCCTGCCCCTCACAGCCTGTCCCCTCCTACTGCCTGCAGTGCTCTGGAAGCACATGATAGAAGCCCGGGGAGCTCAGGTGACCCAGAGCCTGGACATCAGTGCCCTAGCCAAGGTGTCCGATGGCTATACGACCGGTCACATTTTCCAAGCCACCCACTCGGTGCTGAATGAACGGCGGCTCCTGCAACTGTCCAAGAGGCCCCTGGTGGCCTCAGAGTTCTTGGGCCATCTGGCGAAGCTAGATCCAGTGTACAGGGAGGAGGAAGAGTCCCTGAAGGTGAGGTGGCAGGCAGGGGCTGGGGGCCAGAAACGCCACCTAGAATCAGTCCTTCGCTGCATGCCTTGGAGTCCTCCCTTTGCTCCCCTAAATGCCAGAAGATGGTCAGGTTAAATGAACACAGACTTCAGCTGAGAGAGGAACAGAAGACCCCAGGGAGGACCAAGGGCTAGGTGTCTGTGGGCAGGACCCCCTCATCTGGTTTACTTGAGGGTGGCCACCTATGTGTTGAGGTCCTTGGTTGGTTCTGGTACCAGCTGCCACCTGCTTCCTCTACTCCCGAGGTAGTACCCACCCCCCAATGGCAGGCTGGTCTTGGCAAGAGGCCTGGAGGGAGAATGGCTGCACTGTGACCTGGAGTATTTGGTGGGGAGCATGGAAAGCCCTGGTTCTAACAAGATTCCCAGACCCCAGAGGACAGGAGAAAAGGCTGTTGAGGAAACAGGACCCCTAAGAAGGGGAGGGGTGGGGACAGGAGAACCGAGGGTCAGGGCCAGTGGACTCACACCCTCCTCTCCTGCCAACCCAGGAGTGGTACTTCAAAACCCCACTGGGCAAGAAGAGTTTGAAATTTATGAAGGACCAGGAGGCTGAGGAGGCCAAGCTGGCAAAGGAGAAGAAAAGGAAGTGATAATTGAGGCCTGAGGAGGCCTGAGATGGGGGTGGGGACTGGGCAGTTCCCTGGGTGTGAAGGGACAGGGGTATAAATGCCAGGTGGCTGGGGATGAGCTCTCTTGTCTGTCCATCTCTGTGTCTTCCCTCCTCTGTCTGTCCTGCCCAAGGCCAGCCTCCTCCACCAGCCTCCCTCTCCCAGCTCCCACTGCACCTGCTCCCTGGCTCCTTCCATCTCTCTGCTCTGGCTTCTGGATCCTGTTCGCAGCCTGCCCTGGGCCACCACCCCATGTCTTCATCTCTGTCATTTTTCTGTGCTGGCTCCCAGCTTTCTTGCTCCTTAAGATCCTTAAGGGACAAAAACTAGGAAGGAAACCGGGAAAGAGAGGGAGAAGGAAGATTCACAATAAGTAAAAAAAAAAAAAAAAAAAAAAAAAAACAGTAGTGGGCCCGGTGGGGAACTCTGGGGAGCCAGGACAGCCGTGTCCCCAAGGACCAGGAAGCCCTATCACTTCTCAATGTGGCAGATGTGTATGGGGGACCAGCACCTGGGGTGGGCAGCAGAGGTCTGTTGCTGCCTGTGGGCTGAGCCCCGCTCCCTGGGCAGATGCCTGTCTTCCAGAGAGCCCTGGAGGAGTGCCTCACACTTGGGGCATCTCTGCTGCTTGTCACTACTGAGTTCCTTCCCTTGGATTTGGGAGTGGAATTTTCAGGACTCATGAGTGACTTTTGAGGAACAGGAGTAACAGGGGTCCCTGCCTTGGTCTGGGCCAGAGACCAGGCAGTGCAAGGCTGACATGGTAAAGCAGGTGGGTTCCAGCCCTGCCACCAGTTATCTGTGTGTCCTTGGGCAAATGGCTCCTCTTCCCTGGGCTGTTCTGTGTCTTGGAGATGCCAGACTTCATGGGTATCAACCCTGATGTCACCCAGCCCTGGGGAACTGAAGGTCCACTCCCACCTCCTCCACGGTTCCTCCCTAACTCCAGCTCCCAGCCTGGGAGTTCCATCTGGGCATTGTCAATTGGGACAGCTGGGGGCTATTTATGGCTGGCCCCTGCATGCTCCCTGGCTCCGCCCACACTGGCTTGCCTGGCCAGGGCCCAGCGCCACCCACCCAGTCCACCAGCACTGTCGCCCCGAGTCCTGTTGCTTTGGCTCCTTCTCCCAGAAACCAGCCATGCCTAGGGGAAGGAGCTCTCCTCCCGTCCGGAGACACCATCTGGGGTGCCTCCCCTCGGCCCCTGCCTGCCGGGCCTGGGAAACCCCTTGGTCATCATCCCTGCTGTGCCGGGACATGGCTCTCCAGAATGCCCTCTACACCGGGGACCTGGCGAGGCTGCAGGACCTGTTCCCCCCACACAGTACAGCAGACCTGCTGCTGGAGAGCCGGGCCGCCGAGCCTCGCTGGAGCAGCCACCAGAGGGGTGAGAGGCTGCTGGGGGAGGCCTGAGACCCAGGGCTGGCTGACCGAGGCACAGAGCTCCCAAGGCCTGAGGAAGAGAAGCCCCTAGCTGCTGCTCCCCACCCCAAAACTTGCCCAACAACCTAAATCTTGGCCCAGGAGAGAAGTCATGTGGAGCCCAGAATAGCTCCTGCTGGACCTCGTGGCCAGGTCAGGCTCCGGCTGGGGACAGAGGGGGCCCTCTGCCTCCTTTCAACCTCTCTCTGCCTGTGTCCTCTACCTCTGCTTCTCCCACCCTCTTTCCCTTCCTATGTGCTCATGAGCTGGTCCCCAGAAGAGTGCAGGGGGCAGGGAGACCCCCCCAGTGACAGACATACCCTCTGTGCCAGGCTGGTGGAGAAGCCCAGCAGAGGGTCCGAGGAGCACACCCAGTCTGGCCTGGGGCCCATTGTCACCCGCACGGCCTCAGGACCTGCCCTTGCCTTCTGGCAGGCAGTGCTGGCTGGGGACGTGGGCTCTGTCTCCCGCGTCCTGGCAGACTCCAGTACCAGCCTGGCTCCTGATTCCGTCTTTGACACCAGCGACCCAGAGCGATGGAGGGATTTCCGCTTCAACATCCGCGCTCTGAGTATGGGGCCCAGCATGGGGGGTCTGAGTGGGAGAGGGGAGGCTGTAACGGAGCTCGGGCTCCTGCATCCCCTTCTGCCAGTGCCACCCTCTTGGCTGGCACCTCTTTGCTGTCACTCAGGATCCGAGGTTTTGTCCCTCTCTCCCTAGGACTCTGGTCTCTAACATATGAAGAGGAGCTGACCACCCCGCTGCATGTGGCAGCCAGCCGTGGCCACACGGAAGTTCTGCAGCTGCTGCTGAGGCGGAGGGCGAAGCCAGACAGTGCCCCCGGGGGCCGCACTGCCCTGCATGAGGCCTGTGCTGCAGGTCACACTGCCTGTGTCCACGTGCTGCTGGTGGCAGGAGCTGACCCCAATATCCCTGACCAGGATGGGAAACGCCCCTTGCATCTCTGCCGTGGGGCTGGTACCCTTCAGTGAGTGACCCCTCACCCCAACCTTGGGTTCACTCTTAGGGGAGGCAAGGAGATCTTCCCAGGGAAGGTAGGGGGCAGGTGAAGGGTTGGGCTGGAGGAGTTGGGCTGGTGGAGGCCAGGATGCAATCAGTGCCCAAGACAGCCAGCCACTGGCCCTTGAGTCTGCAGTGTCTTGGACTTGGGACAGTTTTCTGGTTCCCCAGGGCCAGCAGAGGGCTGAAGCTGTGGCCCAGCTATGTGGCCTGCACTGGGGAAATTGTCCATATCCATTATGGAGAGATGGTTTTGCTATAAAGTTTTGATATTTTCTGAGCTTATCCCATGTTTCAGACACTGGAACAGCAGCTGAGTCATGTTCCTGCACTCAGGAAGCTTGTTGTCCCATGATCCAGAGAGGTTGGGGAGACAGAAGTCCTAGTTAGGGACTGCTGTGGTCCCTGAGGGTCTGGCTCTCAACTAGCAGGTTTAGAATCCCATTGGCAGGACACTCTCTGATAAATGAGCTTAAGGGACTGTCACTAACTCAACTCACAAGAAACATGGATACACCCATGTCTATGTGCTATTTACTCTAAGAAATATTCCTTTGCAATGACCTAAATAATTATGGCCTGTGTATAAGGAATGTAGAAGAATGAGTTCCCCGCTTGTAATTTTTTAATGAATGTAGAATCTGGGCAGAAGGAGCCTAGACCAATCTGGGGACTAACTCTACGTGCAGTGGAGCCCCCTCTTGGCTGACTGCATACCTGCCCGATTTTGCATCTTGACCCCCTGAAAGACACATTATCCCTGCTTGGGCTGGGCATGGTGGTGCACACCTATAATCCCAGCAACTCAGGAGGTGGAGGTGGAAGGATCATGAGTTCAAGACCAGCCTCAGTAACTTAGGCCGTAAGCAACTTAGTGAGGCCCTGCTTTAAAATAAAAAAATAGGGGGCTGTAGCTGTAGCTCAGTGGCAGAGCACTTGCCTAGCATGTGTGAGGCACTGGGTTTGATCCTTAGTACCACGTAAAAAAACTAAACAAATAAAGGCATGCTGTCCATCTACAACTATAAATTAAAAAAAAAATAGAAAAGGGCTGGGGATGTGGCTAGGTAGTAAAGCGCCTCTGGGTTCCATCCCCAGTACCCCTGCACCCACAAAATCTAATGTGAGCCATATATACAATTTGAATTTTTCTAGTAGTCCCATCAACAATTGAAAGTGAAATAGTTGACATTTATTTCTTAAATTATGATAAAATACATATATCACAAAATTTACCATTTTAAAGTTCAGTGGCCTGAGTACATTCACATCGCTATGCAACCACCACACCATCCACCCACAGAACACTTCCATCTTGCAAAATGGAAGCTCTGTCCCTACTAAACATGACCCCTCTCCCCAGGCCCTGGCAACCACAATTCTACTGTCTAGGGACCTCATATAAGTGGGATTGTATATCATTCATCCTTTTGCAACTGGCTTCTTGCACCTAGCCTATGTCCTCAGGCTCATCCATGTTGAAGCATGCTTCAATTTCCTTCCTTATTAAGGCTGAATAATATTCCATTACATGTTAATACCACATTTTTTTCATCCTATCACCTGTTCATGGACACTTGTGCTGCTGCCACATCATGAATAATTCTGCTATGAACATGGACATATGAATATCTGTGAAACAGGTGAAATTAATGTTAATGTATTTTATTTAGCATACCCAAAATGTTGTAATTTCAACACATCATCAATATAAACATTTTACAATCTTTTTGTGGACAGAGTCCTTAGGAGTAGTGTGTCGTCAACACAGCACACTGGCACTTGGACTACCATGTTGCACGTGTTCCACAGCACATGGCTGGTGGCTGCCACGGTGGGCCCATAGCTCTCGGTAACCCACATTTTTAGTTCTGGCTGTGTTTCAGCCCAGTCTCCCTGCGAGCACACCCAATGATAATCACCCCTTCCTTTCTTGAAACAAATGTATTTCAAAAATTATTATGGAACATTTTGAACAAACAGAATGGTAGCCAAGATAATAGACTGAGCCCTCTGACCCCATCACCATCGATACTGCCCACTCCCCCCACCCGATGCTGCCGTGCGGACTTGTGTGAGAACACCTTTCGGGCACCGTCTCATGCCGCTCACAGCACCTCATCAGGGATGAGTAGTATTACCCCTCACCCTGCATTCTACACTGAGCCCAAAGAGGCAGCTTCGAATTTGGGTGCATGTTACTGGGACTCCCTGTGTTTCTACAGTGCAGTCTTTCCTGGGCACCGTCTTAGAACAACTCTCGCTGGTCAATTTTAGTTTTGTTGGGTTTTTTGTCCCTATTGCTATTTGTGTTCCCACTGCTATTTGAGTTCACCACCAGGCCCTGCACCCCAGCTTTGCCCTCCGTTCCCAGCCCACAGAATCTTTAAAGTGCTCTGCTTGTCCTGGCCCTGAATGCCATCTGTGCCCCTTACGAGCTGTGTGAATTCGCATGAGATCCTCAAACCTTCAGAGACTCAGTTTCCTCCTCTGTGACATGACATTCATCAGAGACCACCAAGGGACCTTGGCAAGGCCCTTGGAAGGGTGCCGCTCCAACCACGTGAGGACTGCTTGTGGCTTTTATTCCCACAGGGTTAGTGGACAATGCCTGCAGGAAGTCCTGGGCTTTCAAAATGGCCTCTGTGGGTCCTGCCAGTGAGTGACAGGCAGGACAGAACCAGGAGCCAGCCAGGGCCCCCTGCCCTGTTAGCAGACCCGCTTCCCTCCCTGCCATCTCGCTCTTCCTAGGTGTGCGGAGCTGCTCCTGCGCTTTGGTGCACAAGTGGATGGCCGGTCTGAAGAGGAGGAGGAGACCCCTTTGCACGTGGCAGCCCGACTTGGCCATGTGGAACTGGCAGACCTGCTTCTAAGACGGGGTGCGTGCCCCGATGCCCGCAATGCCGAGGGCTGGACACCACTGTTGGCTGCCTGTGACATCCGCTGCCACTCTCCTGCCGATGCCGAGGCCACCACTACCCGCTGTTTCCAGCTGTGCCGTTTACTGCTGTCAGCGGGGGCAGATGCGGATGCTGCCGACCGGGACAAACAGCGCCCCCTGCACCTGGCCTGTCGCCATGGCCACGCGGCCGTTGTAGAGCTGCTCCTGTCCTGTGGTGTCAGTACCAACGCCATGGACTATGGGGGACACACAGCCCTGCACTGTGCTCTGCAGGGTCCAGCTACAGCCCTGGCCCAGAGCCCTGAGCAACTGGTGCGGGCTCTGCTCAACCACGGCGCTGTCCGAGTCTGGCCAGGAGCCCTCCCCAAGGTACGGGGGCTGAAGGCATGGAGGGGCCATGATGTGAGGGGACGGGAGACCTAGACCGCTTGCCAGCTTGTTTTGCAATGCAGCCTGGAACCCCGGGGCACATAGGTTAGCCCCTTCTTTCATTCAACAAGGAAGCAAAACCCTAATAGAGGTAAAAGCCAGGGCTCAGAACAGGAAGCGTGTTTGTGCGTACATACGTACACATGTGTATACATTCATGTGCACCTACATGCAGGGTGTGTGTGTACCTGTGTCCAGAGTTTGTGTGTGCACGTGTATGGCGAAGGTGGACTGAGTGCAGAAGGATTATAAAAGATCCAACAAGACTAAATCAAAGCCAGGCATGGTGGTGAACAATTGTAGTCCCAGAGATTCAGGAGGCTGAGACAGGAGGCTCCCAAGTTGAAGGCCAGACTCAGCAACTTAGCAAGACCCTGTTTCAAAATGGAAAAAAAAAAAAGTCTGAATGAGTCAAGACTGATGTGGGCAGCATAGAAGGTGAAAGGTCTTCCTCAGGGCCATGAACTGCCGGAAGAGCATTTGGGGAGCTCAGAGTACCAGCAGTATCAGCTGAGAGAGACAGACAGTGGGCACAGGCGAGACCCCTCCCAGGGCAGAGCATGAGCCCATTTCCTGAGGTTCAATCACCCTGCACCTATGAAAATGCCCTTCACTGTCATTTTTTGGTTTATATCTTACTTTGCACTAATTTCCCCAGAGTGGGTTCAACCTGAAGACCTGAACTGCAGGGCAGATTCCCCGGCCAGGGACCTTGTCCCCTGTAGTGTCCGGCCCATGGGGGCTACTGTCATGGAGGGCAGGGAAGGATTCCTGTTGTCACAGCAGCGGGGTCAGGCCTGAACTGGCCTTCTGGGAGGGTTGGCAGGTCCCCTCTGGCCCTGCTTAGGGGCTGGTCCCACCCCACCCCGCCCCTTCCTGGGCCCACCCTACTGTCCCCGCCTCTCCCCTTTGCTCACAAACCTAGAAGCATCTGTCTGGATTCCTAAGCAAGACCAAATAATTAAACAGCCCGAGAGTTCGGCAGATTGGTCTCCCCTTTGGGAAAATACAAGAAAATCAACAATTAACACTAATTAATCTCCTATTAACACCAGATAATTAGGAGAGGAGCAATTCCCTGTAATCTGACGCCGGCTCTGACAGCTAATGATTTCCCTGCCAGGCGGGGCAAGAGGAGGACTTGGCACAGCAGACAGATTCCCGGGACCCTGCGCCTGCCCGCGGCTCTGCCCTGCCCTGTGGCCTGTCTCGGGGAGCCCAGGGGCCAGCAGAGCAAAGGGCCCCATGTGTCCATTTCCTGTGATCTGAAAGCCCTCCAGTCTTGGCTGGGCTTCCTGCCTTCCCATGAGGAAGATGCTGGGGCCTATCCGTGTGACATGCCAGCCCCACCAGCTCTCCAGGAGCCACCTTACTGGACTTGGCACTGAGGGGACCTGAATCTGGTTCTGGCTTTGATGCTGTTCTTGTGACCATAGGCAAATTACTGAAATCCTCTGGACCCCAAGTTTGTGGCAGGTCATGCATCCTCTACTGAGCAGAGACGGAAAGCCATAGGAGCATAGTAGGGACCAGTGGGGGACAGCACACATCAGACACTGTTCAAAGTTATGCCACCTGTGGATTGGGTCCCTCAGTCCTCCAACAACCTCTGAAGCTGGTGGCACTGACAGAGCAGGCTCTGGAGCCAGGCCACCACCTCAGTACTTAGCAACCATCCTCTGAAAGGGAGGGGATGTGTGTGGGGGCGCTTGGTGAGCCGCTAGGCATCCCCTAACAGAAGGATCGCTGGGCACAGCAGCAGTGCAGGTGGGAGTGGCAGCCTGGGCTTCCTGGAGGAGTGGGCCTGGGATGGGCAGTTCTGGGAAGCCTGGTATGTGGATAGACAGGCTTTACCACAGGGTGGACATCTCGGGCAGACATGTGCTTTCCTCACTGGAGACTGAAATAAAGAGGCCTGTTCCAGACAGACTCGGCCAGGGCAGCTCTGGTAAGCACTTCCCAGAATCAGGGCAAGAAGCAGCGAGCCCGAGTAAGTTGTGTGCTCTGGTGGTCCCCGTGCCCTAGTCAAGCCTGGGCCTTCTACCTGTTCCCACCATCCGCCAGGGCCCCTGGAAGGCAGGGCTGTCCAGGCCCCTCATGTTGTATGCGACACACGTGGGATGTGCACGAGGTATGTGCAGGAGTGGGCACTCAGGGTGGCCGTCGTGGCACCTGGGCATGTTAGGCTGTGGCTGTCCATCGGAGCACATGGAGGCTCCCTCCCTGGGCTGCTCCCACTGCAAGTTTTTCTTGCCTCCTCCTGGCTCCAGGCCACCACTGCGGAGACCACCCCATGTGGGACAGTGCCTTCCCTGACCATGCTCAGCTCCTGATCCTACTTATTTTTCGCCACACCCTAGGCCTGTGAGCTGCAAACAATGTTGATTGTCTTTGCTCTGCAATGGAGCTTGCAGACGACAGGACCCTGCTTCTCCTCCTCACCGCGGGACCCCAGGGGTGGGCAGAGTAGGCCCTCCGTGAATATTTTCCTAAAGAGGAATTGAAAGCATGAATCTGGCTCCAACTCTATCCCTACCAAGCCCTCCATTGCTGCCTCCTCTCATAGCTGCCTCTGGCCTTCACTGGACACCAGGGAGATTCTATTTTTTACAGGACTAACCTTTTCACCTAGATAGGCACTCCACCTAGGGACTCCCTTCTAGCAAGCAGAAAATCCAGCACAGAGCCCTGTAGAGGCAGGCAGGACAGCAGGATGCTGTAGTAGGCAGAGGCAAGGAGTCACGTGCCAGGCTTGGACTGCTGGAACAATTTGGGCAAGATGCTTAACTTCTCTATGCCTCAGTTTCCTTTTATGTACAACGGGGACAATAACAGCCCATACCTTTTAGGGATAAGGATTAAGAGTTCATACATGCTACATGCTAAATATCTGGCATAAACTACGTACAGTAGAAATGTTAGCTGACGGCTGAGCACGGTGGCACATGCCTGTAATCCTAGCGGCTTGGGAGGCTGAAGCAGGAGGATCGCAAGTTCAAAGCCAGCCTCAGCAATTTAGCAAGGCCCTAGGCAACTCAGCAAGAACTTGTCTCTAATTAAAAAATATATAAAAAAGGGCCAGGGATGTTGCTCAGTGGTTAAGGCCCCTGGCAGGGTTCAATCCCCAGCACCCTCCCCCCAAAAAAAAACACATTAGCTGACAGGCTGGAGTAGCAGCTCAGTGGTAGAACATGCACTTAGCATGAACAGAAGTCCTGGGTTTGATCCCCAACACACCCCCTAAATGAAATAAAGAACTGTTGTGTTAGTTTCCTGGGACTGTTGTAAGAACCAGGTGGTTCAAAGCAACAAATCCATTCCCACACAGTCCCCAGAAGGGTCTGGAGGTTCTGGTGGGGACACTGTGATTGCCCACAATCCCTGGTGTTCCTTGGCTTGTGGACACATCACTATGTCTGCGTAGGTTGTCACATGGTCTTTCCTGTGTATGTCTGTGCCTCTGTTTTCCTTTCTATAAGGACATACTGGATTAGGACCCATCCTAATGATCTCATTTTAACTTGCTTACATTAGAAAGACCCTATTTCCAAATAAGGTCACATTCATGGGTACCAGGAATTAGGACTTCAATATATCTTTTTGGGGAATAACATACTACCCACAAGAGCTCTTGGCCATCCAGCACAGACTGATGGGTACCTGACCTTCCCTGCCTCCACCAGGTCCTGGAGCGCTGGTGCACGTCCCCACGGACCATCGAGGTCCTGATGAACACCTACAGTGTCCTGCAGCTTCCCGAGGAGGCCATGGGCCTGGTGCCTCCTGAAACTCTGAAGGTCAGATTCCAGGACCCTTTAGCCAGAATCACTCAGCCTGGCCCCAAGAGACTCCCACCCCTAAAGGGCAACCTTGTTGGTCCCCAAGAAATCACCCAGAGGTCCCCTCACATCCCAGTGAGTTCAAAGAGATGGGTATCTATAGGACAGCCTGTCCCAGTTAGAAGTGGGTGCCACCTGTCCAAGGCTGCCCTGGCTGAGTCCCTCCTCCTGTCCCCAGAAGCACCAGCACTTCTACTCTTCCCTCTTCGCCCTGGTGAGGCAGCCCCGGTCACTGCAGCACCTGAGCCGCTGTGCGCTGCGTGCGCACCTGGCAGGCTGCCTGCCCCACGCCCTGCCCCGCCTTCCACTGCCACCCCGCCTGCTCCGCTACCTGCAGCTTGACTTCGAGGATGTGCTGTACTAGGTGAGTCCTGGTTTCTGGGGACAGCCACAGGGCTTGGGGGAAGGGGATGGGTAGGAGGCAAGAGAGGGGTCCAGGGAAGGGAAGCCTCTCCTTCCAGGTGTGCACTGCCTTGGAAAGCATGAAGCACATGCCACAGCCTGAAGGGGGTGCTTTGAACTCAGGCCAGCCAGGTAGCCCTGTCAGCAGAATGTCCCTCTCCACAGGCAGGGGTGGATGCTTCAGTCCCCACCTGAAAGGGGCAGACAAATCACACATCCAAGTGACATCTGATGAAGACAGCAAGTGGGCCACTCCTCTCCAAGCACCCTCTAGCCTGTATGTTCATTAAAAGTCTCCAGGCCCAGCTGGCAGTGGTGGTGCACACCTGTAATCTCAGCAATTTAGCGAGGCCCTGTCTCAAAAATAAAAGGGCTGGGGATGTAGCTGTGTGGTTTCATTCTTTTCCAATAAGCCTTCCTCCTCTTGCTGGCTCCTCAAGATGGGCACTAGCAGGGTCCCTGGATCCACCCATGTGCTAGCCCACCTAACCTTCTCCCTTTGGCATCCACCAGCTGCTGAGGGGTCTCAGGCAGCTGCCCATTGTCCACTGGAAATGGCCACCAGGTGAGTGGGTCAGAAGAGGCCTGAAGGCTTAATGGCTGTGGGTAGGCAGAGCCTCTGTGCAGAGGGAGGTTTTGCAGAGAGGTGATAGGACAGTAAAGGAAGGCTTGGCTGAGTAAGAGGCAAGGTGAGGAAGAGCCACCCAAGAAAGAGCGGACATGCAGGTGGGCCCAGGGTGGAAGAGTGACCATGGCTCAGGTGAGAGTAAAAGGCCCAGATTTGGGAACCAGAACGGGTCTACCTGTTGCTTGATACTGTAGGTCGCAGAGCACCCATGTACCCCTGGCCCCGGCCTCTTTTCTGCTCCTTCCTTAAATTCAGTTGTGTGGTGGCAAAAGTGCCACGCTGTTAACAGGGCCGGTTCCACTGTGCTCCTAGCTCTACCATTAACTTTGGTGCAACACAAGTCTCCTACCCCCTGGGCTCACTTTTCTGCATCTGTAAGAGAAAGGAGAGTCCCTAGGGGTCATTGCAGCCTAGAGTGGTAAGAACCTGTAGGAGGGCCCAGCAGCCTGGAGCTGGCCCGTAACCACAGGAGGGAGGAGGAGTTGTCGGGAAGCCACAGAGCAGCCAATCAGATGCCAAGGGTCGCTATACAGTTCCCAGGCCTCCAGAGTGCACACCCGCTGGAGCTCAGCCACTTTCCCGCCAACTGCTGGGAGCCAGACTGCGTGGGGCGAGGCCCGAGGGTGGGGTGGGGCCTGGGGGTTGGGGGAGGTTGGGCGGAGGATCTGGGTGACACCTACGCCTCCCCGAGGGTGTGGAGAGCGCAGATGAAAAGCTGAGTGGAGGTCAGTGGGCCGGGAGTCGGATCCTGGCCTCAGGAGCCCTGGGCGGCCCGGGCGGCCTGGGCTTCAGGTGCTGGCGCTGTAGAGACCCGGACTGGCCTCACCTCCACGGACCCCTCCTCGCTGCATGCAGGTCAGCAAGAGGTTTTCTCCTGGACAGTGAGGGGTGCCTGCAGTGGGGACAGGACACAAAACAAACATGCACAAATCTCACTTGTGATAAGTGCTAGGGAGAAATGCAAAAGGGTGATGTGACCGTGACTGGGAGCTCTTTTAGACTGGGTGACGAGGAGCCCACTGTTTGAGGAGGTGACATTGAACCTGAATGATCTGAATGACAGAGGAGGAGCCAGCGGGAGAAGATGGGGAAGAGCAAGGGAGTGGCAGGAGAGAATGTAGATTCGGAGGGCTGCTCTGGTGCTAGGGACTGGGGAAGGGAGGCCATAGAGAGCTGGGGAGACTGCTTGAGAGACAGGGTAAGATTTGGGGTCCTTTTGAGAACCGATGGGCCCTGCTGATGAAGTGGAGATGGGGCTGGAGAAAGCCTCCGCCAGGATGTTCCCAGTTTTTTGATTTGAACAGATATGGTGGCACTAATTACCTAAGTAGTGGCACTAGTTACCTGGGTGTTGGGTACACTAAACTGGAGCTGCCTGTTAGACACCTCAGAGTGGCTGGGTTCCATGCCATCTGGATCTGTGACTCGGGAGTGCAGGGAGGAGGGCAGGTCTGGGCATGTGAAAAAGGGCATCCTGATTTTCCTGGAAGTTTATAAAATTGGGTGGAGATTCTGCAGTTCTATCCTCTGTGTTCATTTTGTGCTTCCTGAGCTCCAGGCTTTAGGTAGTAGATATAAGGCTGTGAATGAGACGTGATCCTGCCCTCAGTGAATTTTCAACCTGGTCTAAGAAACAAGTGTGTGAACTAGTCAGAATTTAAGAAGCAATGAAAGGAGGGCAAAATAACTGTAGGAGCAGGGGCTGAGGGCAAGAAGAGGAAGCTGTGGAAGATGAGGAACGGGGTAGAGATGTGGGAAGGCCTCAGGGAGGAGTGGTGCCTGTCACCTCTGGCCAGGGCTGGGTGTGGGATGCCTTTTTAAGAGGGGGGGGGGTAAGGACAACTGGAGTGGTCAGTAGAGGGGGATGTGCCTAACCTCTACCAGCGGCGTTGGCCGGTTAGGAAGGTCCTTTCTGGGGTTAGACATCTAGACACTTGCAAGCCAGGGAGCTTGCTCCCCAGCCTTCTGGCTGTTGGTCCCGTGGGCCCAGAACCTCTCCCCGGTAATTGCTTTCCGTAATGTGTTTGCTCCAAACCAATTTCACGCCTCCGTGAGGACTCCGCCCTGCACTGGAGGCACCGACTTCCCCACCACCAACCTACCCGCGTGTGAATGCGTGGGCTCACGCATATAGCACACATTAAACAAGACAGGTACACAGCATTCAGAGAACCTGAGCACAACCATGCACAAATCTACATGCATGCATACTAGATTTTAATACACTCGTGTGCAAAGCTTCTACTCCCCACCCCGAAACTCCTTTCCCGGCCCCAACCCATGCACTCACATCCAAACACCCAGAAGCTTGGACCGCTCGCCTGGTCTCTTTCTTTGCCCTCAGAGCGTCTCCTGACTAACGCCAGGGGGCGTTGGAACACTCCACGCCTCCCTCGCGGTTACTGCAGTTACGCGCTGCTGCCACTAGAGGGTATCCGCGGACAGGGCCCGACGCTGCCCACCGTGGGAAGACTGTCCGGCCAATGAGTGAGCTGGACGTACGGACCTGTTGGTTTTTGACTTCAGAACACTTGGCTTGGTTTTAGCCCCCTAAGTGCCGTTGCCAGTATATGAAAGAGAGGCCAGATGATAAGGTCTGACGCACAGTCAGAGAAGGTATATCAAAATAAAATCCGTAGGAGCATTTCCCAATTGGGTGGAGTACTGGGAATGGGCCAGGTCGAGCACGTGGACAATGAGAGCAGCGCTTTGAGAACTGTTGTAGACAACAATAGCGACACTGTTCAGGGAGGCAGTAGAACCACAGTTTTCTGCTTCTAAAGAACGCAGCCAGTTCTGCTCAGACTGGATATCGACAGCATCTGTCCTTGGTACTGATGGGACAGTTAGAAGCAGTTTGTGGAGTGCTACTGATTGGGGGAACATGAATTCTGGACCACTCTGTCCTTTATCTGGTTTTGTGCAGGAAGAACTCATTTTGGATGGTGTTCTCTCTATTTACATGAGCCTGGCTTTCTGCATATGTAATAATCACCCTCTCACACGTGGAGAAGTTAAGTGAAGAGGGGCCAAGGTCACATGGCCCAATGAGGGGTCAGAACTTGACTCCAGGTCTTTTTACTCCACCAGTGCCGTTTTCCATTTATCATGTGGCCTCAGCTTCACCCTCAATGAAAGGGAGGAAGAGGGAGTGGGCTGCAGTAGTTGCCACTGAATGTTAAGGACTAGGAAGTCACACTTCATGACCTCAGCATGGTAAGGGAACTGGTTGTGTTAAAAGCACAGTATCTAGTAAACACGAACCATACCAAGTCAATACAAAGTCCCTGAGGTCTTACTTCTCTCAGTTTAGAGTTGGTGACCTGCTGGGATTTGTTGGTACCAAGCTGTAAACCTGTACTCTCTTTGCCAGCCTGATTGAGGAGTTCAGTTTTCTTAATACAGTTCTGAGCAATACACATTTGGCATGAGCAAGATGACATACATCTCCAAGACCATAGGGTCTTTACCCTTGAGTCCTTGATGATGCATGGTTGATTCTGTATCACCAAAAAGTGACAGGCTTCTTTAAATGGCCTTTTATTTGGCAGGACTGCTTGGAAGAAGATGGTTCAATATATACCCTTTAAAAAAATAGCCTTTTGAGCTTTTGGAATTTTGTACTATGTATTTTATTACCTTTGCAAAAAAAAAAAGTGAATTCAACTATTTTAAAGAAATGGTTCTTCTCCATGCCTTATTTGATTGATATGGAATCTGCTCATACAGCCTTAATTGCAGTAATTGTAGCCAAAGTTCCCTCCATAATTTATCAAGTCAATAAGCCTCTATTATGTATCCAACACTGTAAAACCATCAAACCAAGTACTTGACCTCTCACTTTTTAAGTACAATACACTTGTGAAGTCTGGTCTTCCACATCAGTACCATGAAGCGCTTGGTTAATTTAACCAAGGGTTGTTCTGAAGACTATCTTTAGACAAGGATGAATTCTAGTTCTGTAATAGTGAGTTGGGAGTTCCCCAGGGCCTAAGCTAAGGCACCTCTTCTTTATGGTGACATCTTCCCCCCAGACCCATTTCTTAGAAGTTTCCTTGAGTTTAATGTGCAGCCCAAGGTAGATCAAGACTATATGGAAAGGATAATCTCTGTTCACCTTTTTGATGAAGTATCAATCAAAGCATAACCAGAAAAAGCTCCCCTCTTGAGTCCTGCCCTCTCCCTCTGTGCCATGTGGTGATAGTGTCTTTCAGGGTGTTGATTTTAAATATATCAGCCTGACATTAGCTGTGTTCACTAGGTCAACACAACACCCCTGACTGGAACAAATGTCAGTGAGACCCAGTGTTCCCTCCTGCTCCGCTCTGTCCTGGTATGGCAACTCTGGGGCTCTTTTTCCTATGTTTTCCTTCTTAACTAAGCTAAGCCCTTTGCTCTACTTAAATTGCATTTTCATAAACTTGTCTGGCTTTTCTGTTATTCATTTTAACTAGCTTGGTTCTCCCTGGCCCCAACTGAATAACAGTTTCCTAGTGACCAAACGACACTCATTTTAGCTGACCAGGCTTGCTCTGTGTCCTGAAGATCAGGTCTCTCTTCTGTTGACTTGTCTCAAGTCTCTTTCTTGCCAATTGACCTGAGGTGCTCATAGAGCAGAAGTGCCTGTGACTTCTGCATCTAGATTGACAACTCTACTGCTGGGAATCAGGAGGAGGGGGACAGTAAAAGGCCCTACCATTTCTGTGTCTGAGAACAGGGGAGGTGAGCAGAGTCATCCGCAATTAGCGGATAATTAGTGCTGCTGACCCTTGGGGCTCATCAGCACTCCTGGGGCCAGCCCCCAGCAATCAGCCAGGGCAGGTGGAGAGTGTCAGGCCGGGGAATGAATAGGGCTCATCAGCGGCGCTGGAGCCGGGGAGCCAATCAGGGAAATTAATAGCAGAGAGAGGGCGAGAGTGAGGGAGGGAAACAGACAGACCTACGGACAGGAGGTACAGATAGAGGCGAGCAATGAGGAAAAAAAAATAAGAGGTGCACTGGGATAGGGAATGAAGATGAGGAAGAGCTAATCAAATAAAGAGAGGAATAGGAATAAAAAACGAGGGCGGGGAAGGGAAGAAGAGTAGGAGGAAGGAAAAGAATGTAAAGGATGGTAGAAAGGTGGAGGGGGAAGGTGAAGGAATGGTAAGTACTGGCACAGTGTGGGCACTCGAGGAAATTACCCAGACACGAGAATAAGAGACCAAGGGAAATTGGCCACGGGGGAGAGAATGAGAAGAAGGGGAAGGGCCAATGCCTAGAGAATGGGGAGAGCGTGCGATGGGGTGGGGAAGGCGACCGAGGAGGAAAAGGGCCCCACACAAGTGGCCCTAAGCCGCGCGCGCGTCGCTGGGGCCGAGCGCGCCCCCTGCCGTCCCGCCGCCCTCAGCCCGGCTCTGTCCGCAGAGGTCCTGTCCCGCCCGCGCGCCGGGTCTTGGGGGCCACCAGGTCCTGCGCTCCTGGACCCGGAGAAGGGGCGTCGGGGGCAGGGAGACGTGCTGAGGGTCCGACGCAGGGCGGCGGGCTGCGGCGGGGTGTGGGCGCTGGGGCTCTGCCCGCCCCTCCGGCGCGCCCTCCTGGCTGCCGCCCGCGCCGCATCCACGCCCGGGCCCGCTGCCCGGTCCACGCCGGGCCGCCACCCGCTCACCCTCCGAGCCGGGCCGAGCCCGAGCCTGTGGGCTGAGTAGGGGGCAGGCTGGCTGAAGGGAGGGGACCGGCCCAGCAGCTGCCGCCGCCTTCTCGTCGGCCGCAAACTTTCACAAAGCGGCGTGTCCGGCCTCATCAATCTCCATTAATAATAGTTGGTTGGGCCGCTGGGGGCGGGCGGGGTCCCGGGCCGGCCGGGCCGCTGGGAACCGGCTGTGCGGAGGGAGCTGGAGCCGGGCGCGGCGGCGGCGGGCGGAGGGAGGAAGTGAAGCGTAATTTGAGGAAGATGGATGAGTCCGGAGGGCGACACCCCCAGCCCGCCCGCCCGCCCCCTCCCTCCTTATGAGAGAGGGAGCGCGGCGCCGGAGCCACACTGCGCCGAGCCCGCGCCCCGCCGCCACCTCGGCCCGGGAGCCAGGAGCGAGCCCTGCGTGTCCGCGCGGGGCGCCCGAGCCGCGGGGCGCACGGCGGCGCCCGGAGGGGAGCGCCCCGGGGCGGCCGCAGCTCCGGGCGCGATGCAGAGAGCCGGAGGCGGCGGCGCTCCCGGGGCCAGCGGCGGGGGCGGCGGGGTCCCGGGCACTGCCTTCTCCATCGACTCCCTGATCGGGCCGCCGCCGCCGCGCTCTGGCCACTTGCTCTACACCGGCTACCCCATGTTCATGCCCTACCGGCCGCTCGTGCTGCCGCAGGCGCTGGCCCCGGCGCCGCTGCCCGCCGGCCTCCCGCCCCTCGCCCCGCTCGCCTCCTTCGCCGGCCGCCTTACCAACACCTTCTGTGCGGGGCTGGGCCAGGCCGTGCCCTCGATGGTGGCGCTGACCACCGCGCTGCCCAGCTTCGCCGAGCCGCCCGACGCCTTCTACGGGCCCCCGGAGCTCGCCGCCGCCGCCGCCGCCGCCACTGCCACGCGAAACAACCCGGAGCAGGGCGGCCGACGCCCGGAGGGCGGGCTGGAAGCCGACGAGCTGCTGCCGGCCCGGGAGAAAGTGGCAGAGCCCCCGCCGCCCCCGCCTGCGCACTTCTCAGAGACTTTCCCAAGTCTGCCGGGTAAGTGCTGGGGCCCACCAGGGCGCCGGGCGGGAGGCCAGTTCACCTGGAGGTCCCAGACCCGAACCTGCTTGGAACCCCGGGACCTGCCTGGAGCCCTGCAGCTCCATACCCCCAGATCGAACAAGGAATCTGCGGAACCGACTCCAATACAGTTCCAAGCACAGGATCTCTAGGTCCCCAGACCCATCCTACTGCTCTGCCTGTCCCCAGACTGCTGGAAGCCTCACCAAAGACTTTCAGCACTCTCTTCCAAATTAGTGTCTTTCCTCCCAGCATTCTAGCCTCCGGGCTCGCCCTGTCGCCTTCTTAGAATTCCTTCTTTTCTCTCTTCTACCAGGAGTAGAGAAGCTACAAGGGTGGGATTCCTGGGGACACCAGCAGGGCCCCAGGATGAGCGCATGTTCGGAAGCTGTCGGTTTGGTAAGAAGGACTGTTCTGGCTTCCGAGGGGAGGACTGTTTGACCTCCAGTACAAATGGCCAGCATGAACTGTGCGGCTGCAGGTTCAGAGGGAGGATCTCAACGGTGTCTGTTGCTTAGCCTAGAGGTCAATTCTGAACCCACAGGCTTAGAATTCAGCCTTGAGAAACCAGGTAGAGGGATACCACCAGCTGATGGGAGGAGAAGAGGCTACAGGCTGGGCTGAGTTGGGTGTGGCCTGAAGACCCATAGTTGAGAATCTGGCTGAAATGCTGCTAAGAGCCCTGGATCCTCCATGGGAGGATGCCCTGCAGAGACAGTATATGAAATGGAACCCGACTTAAGATCAGTTCACTTAGAACCCTCTTGTCCATGCTAGGGGTCCTTAACCCCTAGGAGCCACAAAAGCTTTCTCCTATCCAGGTAGATGCAGGTGTTCTGAGATGTGATGCTTACATAATTTGGTGGACCTTATTTAAGAAAAATAAGGTTAACATACAGGTAGGTGTAGGACTGTGAAGCTAAACTTCCTTAGCACAGATAAATCTGCTTTTGCTCAAACATTCACTGTATCCAGCTTAGCAGGTAGGGAGGACCCCAGAATTCCTGGGGGCTGATTCTAGTGGAGACAGACATCCTTGGCCAAGAAAGGCAATTCTTGGGTCTCTCTGAATTTATCCAAAGAGCTAATCACTCCTCCAGACTCTGAGGACTGCCACAGAGCCTGTCTTCCCCTCCTCTTACCTCTTGGTTCTGGGCATTTGGGCTTTGAGGATTCAACTGTTGTTTTCTTTTTTCATACCTGGCTAGACCAAGAGGATACCAGGAAGTCAGAGCAGCATCTCCCAAGAAGGACCATAGGGAGAAGACAGAACACACCTGGAGATGAGAGGAAATGTCTGCAAGATAAGAGGGTGGGAGTTCTGTAGAAGCCAGCAGGTGATCTAAAGAAGGAAGGATTAGCAGGATTCTTAGAATAGGATGGTCCTAAGGCAGAAAAGACCAGAGGACAGGTCATAAAAGAGATGGCTGTGGAGACAACAGAATCTGGAGGTAGAGCAGACACACCTAGGAAAGAGATGAGCCGGAGGGAGAGCCCAGGTAGAGCCGACCTCAGAGGAATATGCCCAGCCCGAGAAGAACAAGCAGCTTGTCCAGTCTTAGGTCTCCTCTGTTCCTCTTTTGACCATTTTGTATAATGGGGGCTTTCTTGGCGTAGATCGAATATTGGCTACAAACAAGGTATTGATAGAGAGGAATAAGCAGAGGGGGGAAACGAAAGAGAAATATTGAGGAGGGAAGAATAGAGGACAGAAGGAAGAAATGAGCTGAGTCCTGGGACATCAAAAGAGATGATGAAATGAGAGGGCTGTCTGTCAGCAGAGGGTCTCTGTATAGGGCTAGATGGAAAGCAAACAATTCCATTAAACCAAAAGTGTGTGTGCATGCGTGCAGAAGAGTCCTGTCCTGGGAGGAGTGGAGAGTGCTTAGAAAAAAAAAATAGTGGGCAAGGTTTGAACACTATGAGTAATTTTCCTTAAAGGGTTTTCGATACTGGAGTGATGGGAAACCAGAATTTACATAGAAATGATGAAGGGGAGATCATCATCCTAGGAAAATGTTGGAAATAAAAAGAGACCCATGTGTTGTTCTTGGAATGTGGGCCAGGGGCTCTGTTATTAAACATGGTGGCAGAGAGACCTTGCAGGGGAAGGGTTTTGAGAGTCCTGCCTTAGCCTAGAAAGATACACCGTGGGTCGTGGTAGGTGCCGGCTGGGCAGCAAGGAAGCCGGTTTCAGAAGAAACATCCACTCACACCCACTTCCCCAGTTGTGGGTTTCCCCTGAGATAGCTGCAAAAAGAGAATGCAGTTCCAGAAATATTAGGCATAAAATCCATCTGGGGAGGGAGTGACGGTACATGGCCCACATTGAAATGGTGGGAAAACCAACCCTCCAGTTTGGGATTATGCTGGAGTATTTGGGATGAAATATGCTGGGAATAATGGGATTGAAACCTCCAGAGCAGAAGAGTCTGGGGAAAGAACACAGTCTTTAAAGTGACAGAGGAGTAACTGCTCTCCTGGTGGGGCATGGTGACATTGGGCTGCAATTATTATTAATTTATATTTGTTTAACCTTTTACTATTACCAGCCCCTTTAAGTGAACTTATAGTGACAACAGGCCAGTTTGGAGAATGAGTGAAGTTCTTTTCTTTGGGAGTTACAGGGACTTTTTTTTTTTTTTTAAGTTGGCTGAGAGTTAAGAAAGACACCACTCTCTATAAGAATTGATGAAGGAAAAAACAAAACTTCATTATGATTTGATTGCAGAGGTGGAAGCTCTCTTAACAGGTACATAGAAACACGGGGTGGAAAGATATTGAGAATGGTTGATTGAATAGAATTCTAGGTTTGGCACATGGGAAGCAGTGGGCTAATGGGAGCAAATCTTTTAGTTGAATGATAAAGTGGAGAGAATTTTGAACTGACAGGGAAGATTAAAGTCTGAGTTAGTAGGGCTGGGGTGTAGCTTGAGGGTAGAGAGCTTTGCTTAGCATGCCTGAGGCCCTGAGTTCCATCCCCAGCACTGAAAAGGAAAATAACAAAATACGAAGAGCCCAAAATAGTGCTGACTAGTAGAAGCTATATATGTAATTTAAAGGTTTTTATTAGTCATGTTAAAAAGATAAACAGGAAAAATTAGTTTAAAAATGCATCTTATTTAACCCAATATGTCCAAAATAATTTCAGCATTAAACATATAAGCATTAAAGTGAGATATTTTATATCTTCTTTTCATACTAAGTCCTCGAGATCCAGTGTGTATTTCAGACTCCCAATACATCTCAGTCTGGACCAGTGGTGTTTCAGGTGTTGGGTAGCTGCATGTGGCCGGAGGTGTCCATATTCAACATAACACACCTAGAGATCTCTAAGAGCAAAGTTAGGTGAAACTGCCAGGGGAAGGAACTGTGGGCTGGGGTGGAGACTGAGTCCTCAACGCAGCAGGAAGGAGAGAAGAGAGCAGTGAGATCTGGATGGAAGGAAGAACAAAGCTCTGCCCTGAGTGGGATGGGCGGGGGTGCTCTGAGTCTGAAGGTGGGTGAGCTCTGGCTGAGAGTGATCCGAGCTGACTTGTGTGCAAGTCTGCAGATCAGCATCCGGGATGAAGGAAGAGGATGCCTGCTGTGTGCTGGGGCAGTGATGAAAAAAGCTGTCTGTTTAGGGAAAACTTTAAGTTGGGAGTATCTAGAGCAGTCATTCATTTGCAGAGAAGAAGGCTGGATTGCCTGGCTACACAAGCTAGGAAGTGTGGGGGGTGGGGGTGGGGGGGAGGTGGGTAGGTGCTCCATATAGACTGTCAGTCAGTGGAGTGTGTGGATACAGGAGGGATGATGTGGGTGCTGGGCTTGCGAAGAAACGAAAGCAGTCGCATTTGGGGTGATGTGGGAGAGAGGAGCCTGGCATAGGACGAGCCCGAGAGACATCAGGGTAATGAGGACGACTTAAAAAATCAACAGAGAAGACTTGCTAATTTCTGAATAGAAATTACAGTCATAGTGGTTATCACGCAGGAGACCATAAAATGCCCAAGGAAAATGGTCTTTGAGAGCTGATTGCCTTAAGCTGGGGATTATAGCTGGGGACATTTGGCTGACCAGTAGTTGGTTTCTGAATGGGTATCTATTATAAATGTCAAGATATGGTGTTTACTTATGACAGGAAAACAGGAAATGATGATGGGATGTGCCACCAGAGACTTCTGTTGCTAGACATGGGAGGAGATTTTTTGGAGGTGACAGGGAGACCCAGACCAGGTGTTTCTAGAACTTTTGAGGGAAGCACACAGTGAGACATAGAGAAGAGTACATACTGCCTTAATGGGATGGAGGGGGTGCCTTCTAAGGAGCTGTGACACATGGGCTCAAGCCAGCTTTGTCACCCCTCAGCTGTGTAACTGACAAATCACTCATTTCAGTCGGGGAAGATTATTGTGTGCCTATTCGTGGATTAGAATGTTCTGAGTACTTTGGGAGGTGCAGTCTTGTAACGTCTCTAGGCTTCAGATTTCTCATCTGGAGCAAAAGTGTTCATTCAGGTGATTGTTAGTGTCCCTTTCAATTCTGTGTTTAAAGTAGGGATCTCAACAGAATCTGGGGAGCCTCTGTCAGAGGATCTGTCAACTCTGGGTGGGAGAAAAATTACTTCTTTATTGTTATTAACTTCTAACTGAAATTTGGTCTTTCTTTAATTATAAATGTAGGCCAAAATCATCTGAATTTCAGCAACATGTGAGGCTGTGGGTACTGATAGAAATTCCAGATTCAGCTGGGCACAGTATTGTGCACATATAATCCCAGCAATGCAGAAGGCTGAGACAAGAAGATTTCAAGTTCAAGGCGAGCCTTGGCAACTTAGCAAGATGCTGTCCCAAAATTAAAAAAAAAAGAAAGAAAAGAAAAAAAAAAAGAAAAGGGAAATCACAGTTGTTTTCATGTAAATTAATGATTTTTGGAAGGATCTTATTTAAAAAAATTAATCAAGACCATGAGTATGGGCTGGGGGTGTGGCTCAG